CTTGCATCCTTTTATCTCTTTTAGCTCTCGCCAACACTCTTGTTCCGTCTCTTACTCCATCACACTCTCTTTCTTTTTCTCTTCCTCCGACAACGTCTTCTTCGGTCTCTCTTACAGCCTCTGCCATGATGTCCATGCTAGGAGCTTCTTGTACAGTGTGTCCCAATTCGGGAGCTGCATCTACATCCTGCGAAGACTGAACTGAAATGAGACGGTCTGCTCTACGGCTGATTTCCTGTTTCTATCACAGCACCGCTGTTCCCGCGATTACCGTTGAATCACGAAATGCCGTTCCTGTCTAATTCCTTTAAATTTCTTCAGGGATGGAGCCAGATTTTGTTTTTTAAATATTTAATTTATTAGAGCTGGAGATGCTTCCCCTGGACATGTTGTATCTTAGACTGATTAGAGAGGTTCATCATCAGGTAAAATCAGGGCTGGGATAGCTACTGAAAAATGTGTAGTTAGCTATTTTGTAGCTACTTTTCCAAAATGTGTAGCTAGCTACAATTTAGCTACTTTTCCAGAAAAAGTACTTCTTAGCTACTTTTTTTTGCAAAAGTACTGCACAACTTTTTAGCTACTTTCAAAGTGCGATTGTCAGAATGTTTCTCTATCTCCACCTGACACCAAACAAGCCCAACTAATAGTGTGAACAAGACACTGCGTTTAGTCACGTGCCAGAAAGAAACATACAATTGAAAAGCTGCCAATATACAAAAAGATTACCAAAAAGTAAGTTTAAGTGTAACCAACAATCAAACTTACACAACCAAAGGCGTGATATCCAACACAAATTTAGACGAAGTATAGGCACAGGCAATCATTCCAGGTTTTTCCTAACAAAAATCTACAAAAATAACCAAATACAAACAATTTTGTGCAAAGTGTTGTCAATTGCTGAAATAAAACTGCTCCAATTTAAACATTTCAGCAAGATCTGTACAGACATGACATTCAGAGTCCTTTGTTAAACTTCAGCAACACTTAAGCCTCAAAATTTTTATCAGTGACCCTGGCTCTGCGAAGTAGTATTAGTAATAGTCTATTACGAAAATGTTTTTTCCACTTTAGCTAAGGCAGGGGTCAGCAACACGCGGCTCTTTTACTGCCCTGTTACGGCTCCACAGCAGAACTAGATTTTTAGGTAAAATAACAAACAGCTCTGCTGATCGTTCAGACACAGTTTAACAATAAATGGTCTCAAACGCTGGAGTTAACTCACATCTGATTGTGATTAAAATAACTACCAAATATGAGTATTACAGCATTTACCCATCTATAACTGTTATGTGCCTTTTTCTTTCATTTGTTCCTTCTTCATCCCTCTGTCCTTCCATAAACTGCTATTAATGTTCCAACAAACTTATTTGACTTCAATTGCCCTGTTTAAGTTTAATTAATCATTTGACTATATGTTTATTTTCAGGTAAAAAAAAAAAAAACCTACATTAAATCAGGCGATAGGTTTAAATTTATTTTGTTTCATTTACCTCTCTCTCTCTATCTTTGCTTGTCTCTCTTGCATCTCTGTACTCACTGATTATTGTGAGACAAAATATAGTCTAATGCACCTGCTGACTTCTTAATGTTTGCTACATGATACTATACCGTCAATATGCAGGTTAACAGTGAACTTTCATGTTGCTTGTAGTCTGTTATGAGTAGGTAACACAATCTAACTTTCATTTCACATCTAATCTCTAATATAGCCTACTATGGAGCCTAAACTGAGCAGTTACTGGAGCTAGACTAAAGCATGCTGATTTGGCTATCAACACTACGAGCAGTCCAAGCAAAAAAATGAAATATAGGGTTTTCATTTTACAATCTTAATGTGTTAATTGTGCTCATAAACTCTCAGCTAGCTACATTTTTGCCATAGCGATGTTATGTGTTAGCTTATAGCATGTGTGCTGCATACCTGAACATCTCAAGAAGTTACTCTGCTTCTCTGGGCTCTGTAGCGTCTCGTACAGAGACAAACAGTAGGCAGTTCAGTCTATGGCCGAGCCACAGCTGTACTGAGGTCAGCTTAGAACCTCTCCCTGCTCGCTGTGTAGTTTCATCGCTTTTTGAATCTCATAAACCCTGAGAAACTTCTGAGGAGCTCGGAGTCCTGACGCTGGTTACGTCACAGGCGCTGATTACTGAAGTAATTGCAGACAGCAACAATTAATAAGCGGTGATTGGAGGGTTGAGAAAATAACGCTTGGCAGATTTTGAGTGGCCATAATTCAGTGACAGCGCTCACAGAGAAAAATCAAATTTCATATAAAAATGAGGCATAATATTCTGTCCCCAGATTTAAGATGAACATCAATAATTTGGAGATGAACTGACTTATTTGCATGTATAATCGCTCCAGCTGGTTTCCGAAACGTCTAATCTGCAACGAGAAACTGTCAAGTCGTGAAGTCTCTCGTTCGAATTCTCCCGTTCCACCTTAAATGGCGCAGCAGTAACGTACATTCTGGTGCCTCATGCTCCATTTAAGGTGAACGGGACAATTCAAACAAGAAGCTGGTAAATGAGAATCTGACTTCAGCCTCGGAAAAAGTCGAACGATACGATCAGAGACATTTTACATTTTAAAGTATCCTGACTGATGTGGGAGAGAAGCGGCTACAGCTGACCTAAAGCTTAAAGCAGAACACAGTAAGTCTGGGTTTTCTAGTGATGGCAAACCGAAGCTTTGTGAAGCTCTGAAGCTGTCCTCCTAACTGTGTCGAAAAATGGTTCATCACTCGAAGCTTCATGACACACTGCGAGTGCATTACAACCATAGTATTTGTTGTTTAAATAAAATAAACCAATAAAACTAAACTGTTGTGCGCGTCTTCAATATCTCATTGCTGATTTGGGTACACACGTCCAGGGTTTGGCTGAAAACTTTGATGGATGCATAATGTATTCTGTTACAATACATAAAACAATAATATATTAAAAATAAATGTATTCGTCTGTTTCAGTATCTTTTTAATCTCTATCTATCTGTCTGTCTGTCTGTATCTCTCTCTCTCTCTGTATCTCTCTCTCTCCTCGAACGACCCTCGAAGCGCGCCCCGGCCTGCTTCGTGCTGCTTTTGAATCTTTTCTCGACACAGTCCCGCGGAAATACCCTATAGTAGTTCCTAAACTCAAAAAAAAAAAACAAAAACAAAAAAACCTTAAGCTGTCAGTTATCTAGCGACATAGCTACATATCGATTTTTATAGATAACAATGTCAACACCCCAGGTAGCTAAGTATGGAATATTTATCCAACGACTCGTTTGAAGTAACTTTAAGTAAGTAAGTAACATTAGCACAATACTAACTGGCGTTCTAATACTTGTTAGGAAGCAGCTAAATTGACCTTGTAGTGTCAGTAAAAAGTTAAAAATCAAACTTCTCACTGCTCAACTACATTTGGGGCAAGTGGGGAATAGTTTACATTTGATTGAACTAATATGTTAGCTATATTAGCTAGCTGGCTGACCAGTTTAACACTACAGTCTGCTTGCTAGCTTGCCAGCTAGCTAACTTAGCTAATTCACCATTTTGGGCTTTTTTATTTTGCACATTTTATGCTTTTCTACCATAATTCGTGAGCTAAAATAAATTAAAGAACTTATGTCATATGTCTTATGTCACATATCAACATATTCCACCAAATGTAACATACTACAGTGCCAAAAAACGATAAATAGTTAGTCAGCTCGTTCTTCTGTCGCAGCCTTTTCAATACAGAGGGAAACCATGGAAAAATGACGTCAGGACATTACATTACGTGCATGTTCTATGAAACTACCCAGCAAATTACGAAATAGCCCATATATGTGACCCAATTTCAGTAACACAGCCACTGAGTTGTTGAAAAAACCCAGCATTTCTTACAGTGTATCTAAAATGATTTTGTCATAAATTCGGGCAAAAAAAGTTTAGTATATAGATAGGCTTTAAGCCTTATTCAAGTTCTCCACATTAAATAACTAGCTATTATTTATTTAACACTGTTTCTTCTCTTTATTTCCCTAAATCAGTCTAGACCCCTGTATGTCAGGATGAACCTGCATGTTCCTGTGCTGGACAGGTTTTTCAACCAGGAGGATACGCATCCAGATTTTCAGCTGAATAGGGAGGCCATGGCAAAGCTGCTAGAGCTTCTCAAGCAAGGGTGGTGACATGGATGGGGTGCCACAATTGAGACCCTGGTATTTCTGTTCTGGCTGGCAAGCAGGACATCATACAGGGTGGTCTCCAGAGTGTTTGGGATGCTTCGTTCCACTGTCATCCGCATCATCCACAGAGTCACAGTGGAGGTGGTGGCCATTCGACACCATCATCCACCTCCCCAAGACCCCAGAAGACCTGGTGGAAATATCCCATGGGTTTGCAGGGCTCGCAAGACACAGGGCCTTCCAGAAAGCAGCCAGATTGGCTGCCATGTCCGCTTTAAGCCACCAAGCAGCCCTGATGGTCAGTGCTACAAGGACAGGAAACCAACCATCCAAAATCTTGCAGGCTGTTTGTGACCATCAGGGCCTCTTCATTGACACCTACGTGGGATGGCCTGGCTCAGTTCACGATTCCAGAGTGCTCCGCCACAGCCCACTGTACAGGCGTTCACTCTACCCTCCTCCTCTAGGGCACTTTCTCTTTGCAGATGGAGGATACCCATGTGTCCAATACCCTCTCCCCCTCATCGCTCCCTACAAAAGGCCAGTACAAGGTGTGGGAGCCCAGCGCTTCAATGTTCACCATTCCAGAGCAGGCTCCATTATAGAGCGTGCTTTTGGGATGATGAAAACCAGGTTCAGGGCCATCTTCTTACAAGTGCTGGAGGTGCATCACACATTTGTACCTCATGTAAGTAGTCACTCAACAGGATTTTTTTTAGAATACTAAGGAGTACAAATTTTTCTGTTTTTTTTTTTTACCATTTTATTTCAGGTAATAACAGCCTGTGGTGTCTTCCACAATATCTGCCTTGGGACTGGTTACATCATGGCCCCAGAAGATGAGCTTGAGGAGGATCTAGTGGAGGATGAGGAGGGGAATGGCTTGGGGACAGTCAGTGGTGCTTCCTGGCGGGATCAGCTGTCTGCAGAAGTGTCTGCCCTGGAGGAGGTCCCACCTGACCACAACTATCTTGGGGTAAGACTTCTCTTGTAAAAATAAGGTTGCAAAGTCGTATTTTGTATGCCCTGTGTTTTATACTTGCCTCTTTCTGAAATCATCTTAGTGACATGGCAGCCGTTGATTGAGTCGGCCCTGAAAACCCTGTAGATGGATGATGTGGTAAACAGTGGAAATATGCATCACCCAACACACTCAAGACCACCCCTGATGATTTCCCACTGACAGAGGATACCAGGGTATTTTTTTTTTGTGGCAGCCCATCCAGGTCCAGCAGGACCGCCAGAGACTCCCTGCTCAGCTGTAACAAAAAAAAAAAAAAGTATATAGTAGATTTGAAAAAAATCAAAAGAATGAATTATTAACTTTATGGTTTGTATTGTTGCATGTTTTGTAAATAGTTGCTTTGTAAACATATTACATATATATAGTACCTTTTTATGCATTTAAACTGAAAAAAATACTGTTAGAAAATTTGGGCATCGCGTTGTTGACCCAAATAGATTTCAATTTCTCCACATTAAATACCTAGCTATTATTTATTTAACACTGTTTCTTCTCTTTATTTCCCTAAATCAGTCTAGACCCCTGTATGTCAGGATGAACCTGCATGTTCCTGTGCTGGACAGGTTTTTCAACCAGGAGGACACACGTCCAGAAGATGAGGAGGAGAATGGCTTGGGGACAGTCAGTGGTGCTTCCTAGTGGGTCTGCAAAGGTGTCTGCTCTGGAGGAGGTCCCACCTGACCACGACTATCTTGGGGTAAGACTTCTTATTCATAACCAATAAATGCAAACGTAGTTAATACTTTATTTTAATTAATTTCATTTCTCAATCACTTTATTCAGTAGAGAGAACAGCCTGTCCATTCTTTCCCTGCTGTCCTGTGCTCTCCTCTCCTCTGCCTCTCTCTACAACCTCATACTTTCTTTTTTAAGCTCTAGAAGCTCATCCTCTCTCTCTCTCTCTCTCTCTCTCTCTCTCTCTCTCTCTCTCTCTCTCTCTCTCTCCCTTTTCTCCTTCTTTCTCTTGCCACTGGCTGCCTTTCCTCCTCCTCACCCGTTGCTGCACTTGGAATGCCTCTGCCCCAACACCACATCCATGAAGACAAACCATGGCCACGTTGCAGCAGTTGGTTTCCCACTAACACCCTCTCCTGACCCTGGATACTTGAAGTCCTAAGGTATAGGAAATTACCAACAGCAGCAACAGCACAACAAATTAAGATCACATGAACATACCTTGTATTTTTTTTAATCATACTATTTTTTTGCCGTTTTTTTTCCCTTCTAGAGCAGACCCATTTTCTTCAGAATTGTTCTAATCACAGAGAAAAAGTAAGAGAAACAGGAAAAACATATCGATCATGTTAACACTGGGATGCAAACACAGCAAGACAGGCACAATATCACCTATTAGAACACGTATGTCAAAACTTTATTGTAAACTGCTATGCCCTGTACACAGAAAAAGAAAGTCACATTTTTAATTATACTATCAGTGTGTAGTTGATGGTTTGTATGTACTGTGTTGATGCAAAACAGAAATTTTAAGAGTTTTGCAAGATGGTTGAATGATTTTACTACATGTAGGCTGTTGCTGGCTTACCTCCAAGCCACACTCACTGAATTTTTGGCTCCGGAGAGCAGACCATCATTTGCCCCCCGCAGTCTTTTAATTTACTCTGTCCACTCCTTGCTTCCTAAAACAAAACGAAACGTTGGCGTAAGTTTTGCTTCAGACCATATTCAACTCAGTTTAAACCCAATTACATTTAAAAGTGTACTCTTTAGCCGTTGTTCGTTCCTCTGCTGACGCCGCCATGTTCTCAAATCCTTGCTGGCACACAGTGAACCTCGGGATATGTTGGCTGGCGAAGGCAGAGAACTTGTAGAGAGGAGAATTACCACTCTGTAATGTCTTCTGGGTTTCTGAAACGCAAAAGGGAGCTCCCGAGTGAATCAAAAATGAATGGGTTAACATAGAGCATTTGAGCAAAAATCATAGTTTATAAATGCTTAAACATTTTAAATATAAAATAATATTCATTTCCTGAACACTGAATAGCATAAAACATTTAAACACTGCTGTTATATTTTTAAGACCTTTCAAACTCGAATTATGGGAGTTGTATTGAAATATATGGTTAACATTTCTTTACTTTTTTAGTCAAATACATCCTTCTACTGTCTAAAATTAAAGGCATATGATAAGGAACTATTTTAACTTTTCGTTTTTAGCCGTTGAGCTCCATTTACTCCCATTCATTGAGGACTCATCGCGGGCGCTCTCTGGCCTTTTGCAGTCCTGTTTTTTGATATAACGGGGGAAATAGGAAGTGGCCAGGCTCCTCATAAACCAGCTCTGGCAAAGGATCCATCAGTTGGATCCTTCGTTGCCATGGAAAAGGAGGACACATTTCTTGGCTGCATATAAAGGAGCCTTTGAAATTGGACAGCCTAGTCACGCTGCTGTGATGCAGTCGGCCTTCAAACGCAGCCTACAAAGAATGCAGCCCCTGAATTGGGACGCAGCTGTAGCCAGCTGAAGAGCCGTAATTGTTGATATGTGACGTGGTGCCGTAAAGCGTTATGCAGTTCTTGCAAGAGGTTTCATTCCCACTCCTTCAAAGTTACATAATGCTGTAGCAGGCGTTTCGGGTGGAGTGGCAGCGACAAAGACACCATTCTCTCTATTATTAGTCAGTGTACCATCAAAGCTATTATTTTATAGTAAAATTGTTACATAATGTTGCTTTAACATCTGTAAAATCAGTCATATGTAATCACCAGTGTTTTTTTACATACTCAAGTCATAAGTTTTTGGATTCCCTTTGTGAGTAGCCTTATACAGTGACTGGTTAAGAGAGATTTTACCTTAAAAGCCTGAATACAGTACTGTTCACAAACTACAGACTGTTATTGTTCACGAAGATTAATCTGTAGGTATCAGATGTTAGTAATAATCAAAACATCCTTTTCTGCATACTTGCACTTATTTTAAGATTTACAATGAAAGCCCTGAGAAAATATTTAACTGTATTTCAGTTTAAAGTATCTGTAGTCTATTAATATTATGTTTGTATTGAGATTGGGTGAAAAGTAGGTCCAGTGTATTGCTGTGATTAATAATGTAATTAGAGCCAGTTTAAGGGAAGCCTGGCCACTTTTTTGCCAAAATTTTTTAAAAGGTTATATGTTAGATGGCACCTGCAAGTAAGTCCTCAGTGAATGGGGTTGAATGAATGGATCTAATAAAGTGAATCTAAACAGTTTCTAGTAGGACAAAGAAAACTGTATGCTATGACAAAATAAAAAGAACAGTTCTGGTATTTTCCAGTTTTTTAAGGCTTAATTGGTTGGTGAGCTGATCAGCTCATTGGATGATAAAAGCCGTTTGCACGCAGTAACATCATGAATATACATAACCACCATGAGAAGGCAGACCCTCCCAGCTTTTGCCTTTCCAAGCGTGCCACCAGACTTGAGCTATTGGGCACGAGAGGACCATTTGAGAGAAGCTCCCATTCACTTCCATTTATTTTTGGGCCGATTTCAGTCAAAAAAATAAAGGCACATCTGAGCTGTTTTAAGTTATCATACAGCCCCCTTCTACAGAAACTGTCTTGTTATTTGATTCACTGACAACCTGTCAATCACTTTATATCTTTCAAATTAATGATTTTCTGTGACAGTATGTAAAATGATGTGATAAAGCTGTAAAGCTTGATGTGTGCTGTTCTGCTTAAAAAAGGAAGTCCTATTACTGGTTCAAAAGTGCTGAAAAATATGAAGAGTGTTTAAATAGTTTATGCTGTTCTGTGTTCAGAAAATGATGGCTATTTTTTCATGATTAAGCATTTGTTTTATGAATTTGCATAGAAGCTCTGCATTAACCCATTCATTTTATACTTGCTCTGCAGCGCCCTCTGGTGACTGACAAACGTGAAAGACATTTTGGAGTGACAATTTCAGGCCCCCAGCTTTTGCCTTCCAAAGTGTCTTTGGAAGTGAGCTGCATGGGCACCAGAGGACCAATTGAGAGAAGCTCATCACTCATCTCTTCTTCTGCCCAGCTGGTTTCAGTGCCAAGTTTAGTAGGGTGTTCTGTACCAAATAGACACAACTGATGTTTTGGTTACATCGGTCAATCAAATCTAGATCTTCTGTTAGCTGTTAGTTAAAACCTCAAGAACTGAGCAGCTTTTCAAAATTGCCTTTTGTCTCCTAAAATGGGTGGACTGTGTATAAAAAGCTTTGTAATTCCTCCACAGTTGTCTAATATTGGCTGAGGCTGCGTTATACTTTCCCCAATGCTAAACCGCAGGATTGCTGTCTACTGTTATGTTAGAAAATCTGTGGTAGCACCACAGAGGCAGGAGTTGATAAGAGCGTCTCCCCAGTTTGCACCCTGCTTTCACAGTATATTATGAATTCGGCACAGTTGAATAATGCAAGAATTAATGCAAAATGATAAAAAAAAGATAATTTGAACTAATAATGTACATTTACCTGGGGAGCTAAAGCCCCCCTAAAACTGGCCTAGTGACACCCCTGGCTGACAGTCTACACTTTAATAGCCATCATATTGTTTGACTACACAAATATGGGATTTATAATATGTATAACTCATGGTGGTTCTTTTTCTAAAAGTAACTCTTAGCAAAACATTCAGCGTATTTCTATTTTGATAAATAACTGGGTCAAGCACAGACTGCAGCTTGTCTGGTACAAATAACAGCACTGTAGAAATCTACTTGCTCAAAATGAGATTGAGGTTAGAGCTACATTGTTACAGTCTACTTCACTACTGGGTGGGTTGTAACAGTAAATGGAGTAGGTTGCAACAGTAATAGATTTATTATTCATTATTTATTAAATAGTTATTTTGTTCCTTATCAGTTATATTCATGAGATACATTTTTCATCTTTTCTTTTCCCTTCCCTCATTTCAGTTCAGTCACATTAAATTTAAAGCAGGAAACTGAAAGTAGCAAAAACATTGAGTAAATCATGGTTGTTGTGCCAAGGCCTTAAACGGAAATCCAATGATTTCTAAACATTTTAGCCTAATTCAGCTGCTGATATGTAGGCAAAATCATTCAGAATTGTTTGGTGCACTCTAGAAAGCATTTTGTCGAAAACAGGGTAATTTGGTTCTTTCAACAACACGGCTGGATCACTATTAGACAGAGCACACTGGATTAATATAATCCAGCATGGGTTGTCATTTAACTAGACAAGCCTATTAATGGGTACTTATCATAATGCTTTCATATAATCATTCCTGCAAAAGTATTATTTAAATAAATATGAATGTAAATAAAACGAAATGAACACATTTTAAACACATTTTAGTAAACGAAGCACCCAAAACAAAAACAATTTGCTCTTTCCCAAATAAATAAATAAATAAATAACTGAGCTAACTTTATTTTATCAAGAGGTGGGGCCATAGTATTGACACCTCAAACTTTTGGAAGAACTTCACCATGTTTGTTCCAACCTAAAATAGAGATAAGACATGCAGAAGAAAAGGTGGAGGGAGTATAATATCTGGAGGTATAGAATAGCACAGTGGTTAAAAGAGTAGGAGGACAGTTACATTATTAAATGCTGTTACATGCTGAACAAACATTCAACATTCAATTGCAGGTCCTCTCAAACCTGGCATTTATCTGGGTGTGGAGTTCTACTACAGTTGCCATCAGAATCTGGGTTGGGGTTAACCTTAAAATACATGCGCCTTCTTTGATTATACCTGACCTGTAACCGTGTGAAAGCCAGTCAGTTCTGCCAATATTTAATATTACATTAATTTAATCAAGGAAAATATTAATTGCAGACAAAATCACAATAAAAACTGACTTTATATGCAAGAGTCTTTAAACAAGTAAACTCTAACTTTATTTATTTCCTTCTTAGTTATTTTATACTGATAAATGTGTGCACTTAATCTTCAAGTTGCATTTTCCATTCTTTTTTAGACCAAGAGGGGGCCCCCTGTGACAGTGGGACTACAGACTCATTGCAGTGGTCTCCAATCCTATCTGCAAATATTCTTATATAAGTACACAAAACCTCAAGTTTTGGGTCAGAGTGACTTTTTTTCTTATAAAAATGGGGCCACCAACTGGAAATCAAGTGATTAGTTGCTTCAACTGTCGGTTCTTTATTGTATTAGTGGTTAATCTATGACACAAAGCCTTCAGTTCAGCTCCTGAAGTCCAAAACAATGGTAGCTTGGTTGTATTTGCTGGCTGATAATTTCAAACTTTTAACCATAAAGGAGAACCCTACGCTGGCCACTTGTGAATTTTTTTGTGATTTTAAACATCTGATATTTTGATATAAACTGTTATGGCTGTATTGATTAAAAAAAACCCAATAATGCTGTGGGTCCACCAGACCACTGAATAACAAAGACACCACACAAGGGTTAAGTCTGAATTACTAAACAGGAATTCCACCAATCAAGATTTCAAAATTTCAGCAAAATGAATGGAGAAGATGTAAACAAAGTCGGCCCAATATGACTGAGAGCAACTTCTTATATAAGTACACAAAACCTCAAGTTTTGGGTCAGAGTGACTTTTTTTCTTATAAAAATGGGGCCACCAATTGGAAATCAAGTGGTTAGTTGCTTCAACTGTCGGTTCTTTATTGTATTAGTGGTTAATCTATGACACAAAGCCTTCAGTTCAGCTCCTGAAGTCCAAAACAATGGTAGCTTGGTTGTATTTGCTGGCTGATACATTTCAAACTTTTAACCATTTTGTTTCCATTTAAAAGTTAACAATGAAATAAGAGCATTGCTTCGGTATGTGTTTAGACACAAGCATGAAGATTCTCTGAAATAAAAATGTATTTTTTATATGATATGTATTTTGTTGTTCCCAGAAATCTTTAGCTGTTTCCTCAAGGCCTAGAAGGCTCCGAGGGTTCCCTGTAAGTATCTAGATATTAGCCTTCGTACTTGGAATCACAGTGAAAAGAAAATAAGTGATGTCAATCATCTCTTCCTCTTGCCAGTCTGTTAAAGGCTCTGCTAAACGTAGATGTTTTTGTTTCTGTTTAGACACACTGAATCAAATCTAGATCTTCTTTTAGCTTTCTAACTCTGCAACAACACTGCTAAGCACAAGAAACAACAGAGCAGCAAATTGCTTTTTGTTCTTTAAATTTGTGGGCAGTGTATAAAAAGGACTATAATTCCTTGCCAACTCTGACATTCTGCACTTTAACCTCAATGTAATTGTTTCACTTCAAATCCAGTGTGTGAGAGCATGCAGCCAAAAATCACTACATATAATGAGCCCACAGTATACTGTAATAGAGGCTGGTAATGTCTCCCTGTAGAATATGTTATAAGAACATTTTCTGACATCTTTTTGTCTTTAGAATCAAACTTTTGCTTTACTCAAAATAAGTTATAGAGAATAATGACCAAACAGCTAAAGTGGGAAAAGGGGTTTATTTGTTTTTTTGCTGTTTTTTTTTTTTTTGCTGTTTTTTGTTGGAGGGGGGGGTCAAAGAAAATATTTGAAGCAATAATAGAAAGATGAGAGAGAGAAAGAGCAAGGAGGAACTTGTGTGTCTTAAAAAAGTACTGCTTTTGCTGCTGTTGGAATGCAGACTGGAGGCTGTAGGTTGATGTTTTCTTTTAAATTGTGTACACAGAGCTGAAGGTTTTTGATGTTGATGAAACTGGCAGTGAGGGTTCACCAGGCACTGCTGTTGGAATACAGACTGGAGGCTGCAGCTTCTGGATGTGTCTCTGTAGATGAAGTACACAGGTGTTAACTGCTGTGTTTCTAGAACTGCCCAGAGAAGTCAGTCAATAGTGCATTTGGGATGAACAGTTTGTTCTTTTATAGATAGTATTGTTCTTGCAGTTATCGCTACTGCAACATTAAAGCACTTGTTTAACCCTTGTGTGATGTTGGGGTCTGTGGGACCCATTTTCAATGTTTACCAAAAGACCAAATTTATTATTATTTTAACCTCAGATTCCTTGGCCTTTGCTCATTTTCTGTGAAGAACATATAAAAGAACACATTTTTAGTGACTTCACACTACACATTTATATTACACATGTGGTGTTGGGGTGAACCCATGAAGAATTAAAGTGCGGAGGTGCTGTGTCCCTTCACTCTGTTCTCCTCCTGCATGGCCTGCTGTTAGCGTGTGTTTCTGTGTCTGTGTGTGTGTTTGTATATCGTTGTCCAATGAAAAACTTGTATCTCCATTTTCTGCGATTTGTATTTTTCTGCATCATTTGAGCTCAGCAGTTGTCTTTTACATTGTGTGAAGATTTCATGATGATTGGACCAATAGAAACGCTCCTAAATTGCTTAGAATAAAAACTTTTTCCATTAACTTACATTGAAAGTAAAGAAAGTTTTTGACCTCTCCTGTAAACAGTGACGATATGTGTGTGTGTGTGTGTGAGGGTGGACAACATGGACAGACTGCTGACTGGCCACAGCTGCTAAAGGAGAACCCTACGCTGGCCACTTGTGACTTTTTTTGTGATTTTAAACATCTGATATTTTGACATAAACTGTTATGGCTGTATTGATTAAATAAAACAATAATGCTGTGGGTCCATCAGACCACTGAATAACAAAGACACCACACAAGGGTTAAGTCTGAATTACTAAACAGGAATTCCACCAATCAAGATTTCAAAATTTCAGCAAAATGAATGGAGAAGATGTAAACAAAGTCGTTCAGAGTGGATTGATGTTAAATGGTCCATTCAGTCTGAATGGTTCACAGTGATGGTAAGAGGAACTAAATGCCTGAAGTGTTTATTCTCCCTCACAGACAGTTATTAAATGAAATGATTATTATTACGCTGCCTGACGGCTGAGAGTGTATTTTAGTTTGAGAACATTTTTAGCCTAAAAAGTATTTTTAAAATTCATTAATGGTGGAGAGGTACATGCAGGACATGTGGGGCAAAATAGACCCCAAAGAAAACTTACATGTCACTATTTTACCTTCATCAACATTACATATGAAAACAAGACACATGTAGGTTCACTAGTGTTTAGATTGCATTCAATTTCTATATTTGTGTTATAATGAACCACTGTAAAGGAATCTGAGTCAGTGTGCTTCTCTACAATTTCACATCAAGCCACTCTGAATGACTTTGTTGACATCTCAAAGATGATTATGCAGAACTCATTCATGTTTATCGTATTTCAGTAATAAGCATATCATTTCATTCCGATATTGTCATATGACCACAGTAATATATCACAGAAGCACTGCAGCAGTACAATGCCAATGGAGTTTATAGTACCGAATTATGGATAATCATAACAAAACCAAAGATAAAGATAAACCTTATGTTCACAGTGGCGTCAGTTACAACCACTTTTCTGAATCAAACTCATCACATCATCACAGAATCTCACCTTCATCATAGAATGCAGCTGTGGGTGATGTCTGTACCCAAGTGAGGTGTAGGTACAGCTTGGTGGTGAATACTCATTTTCAGCTGTTGGAAAAAAGCATGTGTGGGATATAACAATACTTTCAAATGAAAGGTGACCATCTACACTTTAACTCTGGTAGCTTTTGTGAATAAATTCCAAATCTACTTACTCTCCAAACTTGGAGCTCACCATGATCATTTGAAAAGGCAATAAAAGGAAATATTCAAAAATATCTGCTTGAAAGCTAAACTTATTAAAATTATGAATGCAGTGCTGTGATTACCTGGAAAACACACAAGATTCCTCCTTGGGCAGCAGCCAGATGTGATGAAGTTGGAAGAGGTTTAACAGACCACTGATCAGCTCAGTAAGCCAATATTCTGTCTAACCTGGCATTTAGAAACAGTGCCAGACAGTTGTTTTTAAATTCACTTTTTTATTTTGAAAACAGATTTTTTACAAATATATGTTTGTTATATTGCAATATTTGTATTTATATATATATATATGTATATATATATATAAATTATTTTATTTATTTATTTTTATTTTATTTATTTTTTGCTTTTTTAATATATGTAAGAATATGTAAGTTTTAAGAATTAATAAAACTTAATACACACAAATATATAAAAAAGAGAGCTCAGCCATTTGGGAGGAGCTCAGAGTAGAGCCGCTACTCCTCAACATTGAGAGGACAAGTTATGGGAAAATGGGAATCACTGATCGTTGAAGAGGCCCAGGGGTTTATCTCAGGATCAATTTCTGAACAGCGGCCATACTTTAGTTTATGACTATCATTAAAGAAGATGCCTAAATATGTGCCCACCCACTTCCCATTACAGAATACAGGTGAGCCACTGTCACCATCTCTGCCTGCTTTTGACACTACAAATTCAGAATGAAGCATTTGGGACTTCATATGTGAATATGGGCGAATGACTTTGCACTCCTGCTTTTGGAAATGGCCTGAATCTGTTAATGTATAAAAATATACATGGTCATTTTCATTAACTTTACCAATCTGGTTTTGTAGACCATCACCCAGAGGATTAGTATTTCCAAGCAGTTTAAGAAAGGCCTGATCTCTGTCTGGGTACGTGTTGCAATATTTTGTATACTCAGCTTTGTAGACCAGAAAACCTTCTGAAAAGGGGAAGATAATATGTATTTCAGAGTCATATTGATCTTTAAGAACGTGCCAGGCAGTCAGGACGTGACCGTTTCCATAGAAACATCCACTTCCTATGGTTATTTTGTTTTCTTTATAGTTTCTAATTTCTATAGTGCAGGGTATTTCATTTGCTAATAGCAGATCATTTGGAATCGATTTAGTAATTTTTCCTTTTTGATAAACAACTGGGCCAAGTATATTACGCAGAGTTTCACAACAGAGTTTAACTGATTCGGTTGTGTTAGTGGGTAAACTACAGTATGCATTCATATATTTGTAAAATTTCAGCTTTAAAAACCAAATGTTAATTGTTAAAACATGGAACAAAAATTTGTCCATCCATTTAAAAAATTGCAAAATATCAAAAAGCTGATCTTCAGAATTGGTTTTAAGTGTGCACACCTGTAAAAGAAAAAAAAAACTTTTATTTTTCAAAGTACTTTTTGTTAAGAATCTGATTCGTTCATTAGTGCTACTGGAAAGGGGGGAAAAGGCATGATTTCTACAGCTGAGCCAATTATTACCAGAGTGAAAAAGAAATGGTTTTATGGTTACTCAAAAGTCTGTCAATTATAGTGTGGAAGAATGAGGGCAATATTTCGATACAGTAATATGACAATTTATCTAGTCTATGCTAAATACATGTATAGATATGGATAGCTAGTTGACTGGGACAGCAGAATCACTTCCATATACTCGCACAAACAGCTCAAGCTGAAGTCTGTCTGTCTGGTAGTTATCTATGCAGAAGCAGCCTATTTACAATGTACATGTTTAGTTTCCCAGGTGAGAATAAAGTCACCAGTAAGTTGTCAGTTGGTACAACTGAATGCAAACTAGCATGGGATGTTGATGTGTAACACAGATGGTAGGTCAGAATACGGGTGAAGGATAAAAAGTGTAATCTGATCTGTGTTTCTATTCTCACAGAAGGATGATTGAAAACTGAGACATGTTAGAAGCTCTATAGATGAAGGTTAAGGCCAAAAGAGTTTACATTAATAGCTAATTCAAGACACAGAACTTTAAAAAGACACTCACCCCTTCCATCTTCATTACTGTTCTTTGGCTGCTACAAAGGAGAATACGCAGCTCGGCTGTTTATAAAGGCGGCCAGCCAGTCATCTTCCAGTGGATGGGCGGGCAGAAGGAGAACAGATGACTAACTTGTTGTTTTACTTCAGTCGTGTTTCTATGGGCTTCTTTGCTTTTGAGAATTTCTGAAGGGGCCTCTAGTTGTGGCAACTGTTTAAAGGAAAAAGCGAATGACTGCTTAATGAATGATTTTCTTTTTCTGAACAGTAAAGCATTTGAACATCAGTCCTATATTTCTCCCAAACTTTAACTGTAATAGTGGTTAAACCACACAGACCTTGGATTTTTCCATCATCTTCACCAAGAGTGCCAGTAATGTCAACGATGAAAACGATGAGTATAGTGAAAACAGATTCAGCAAAGTCAGCCCTTGTGACAGTGTTGTGACTTAATTTAAGGGAAATTCTATCAGTTTTTAACAATTTTTGCATAAACAGTTAAGATGTGACCAAAGTAATTCAGAGCAGGCTGATATGAAATACTCCTTCCTAGAGAAACTTCTCAAGTCAGAATTGTTCACAATATTGGTGACGGAGCCAGAAGCCTGAAGTGCTTAATGCATATAAAAGCAACCTCACAGAAAATGATTATATGAAATGATCACAGATATGTTGTGTGGGGCCTGAGACATTGGTTCAACATAGTTTTGATTAGGTTTTGGCCTAAAACCTATCTTAGAAATAATTAGCATTATTAGTGGAGAGGTACATGCAAGGTGCTGTAAGCAAAAAAGGACCCAAAGAAAATATATTTGTTGAGATTCACCACTATTTTACCATCATCAATGACAAGGACTCAGAGGACACATGTAGGTTCACTGGTTGTTTTGTATAATAAATAAAATGGCTTTTTGTTCTCTGGAGACACTGCAACTCCTAGTTCCTACCACAGCCATTGTAAAGAAAATCATCAGTGAGTTTGTCTGTAATGCAGCACTTCAAATCAAATCTCTCTGAATGACTTAGTTTCACCGATTAAATTATGCAGAAGCTTTGACAAATCAGTGGAATTTCCCTTTAAAGGGCAAAAGAAAGCTACTAGGGATGCTCTAACTCATTCGACCATGCTGTGTTCATTGATATGTTAAAGCTCAAAGCAATTCTGAATACTCTCTGGGTATGATCATGGTTATCACCTATCACATATGAACATTAAAGAAGGGATGTGTAGCATCCTCTGTTCAATAGAGAACATTACTGTCGTAAAACAGGCTTGACTTGATTAACGCCATTTTAAGTTTCATTTCATGGCATGTGGAGGAGTAATCCAACAGGAAATCACAATCGGTTAAGAACCTGTTACCACACATGGTTTTGGTTCCCATCCATCTTGCTTCATTCCTTTCCAGTTACAGTGTAGTTCTTCTGACGCACAAATACGCTTATCCTACAAGACTTGACATGCTTACTGATGTGCAACAAACTTGGTAACATATCTACTTGTTCATAAAGATGTTTTAAGTTTCTAAATCTAAAATCAAAGTGGAGCAACTGGGAAGAAAAGGATCATTTAGTAAATTTGCACAGCGTAGTAACATAAACTGTGGCCTAGTGCATTATTTTGTGTGTTGCAGTAGAAACATTTTTAACAGTATGGTCTGAAAATGATCTGAAAACTGCAAAAAAGATTTTGTCAGTCATTCATTCAATGGGTTTGAATGCACTTGGGTAATCCTATAATGGAAAAACTCCAGGTCTGTATGAGTCAGGCAATAATCAGATTTCTACTTCCCAACCAGTCAAAATCAAACTTCCTGCAGCTTTTTTTTAAAACATGGAGTCACTTTATTGACAAATATGAATATACATCCTCTAGATAATAATGTTCAAATTCTTCAATTAGTCAAGCATGTAGTGCCAGCATTGGACATGTGACTGAAAAAGCCGATTACTGACCTAAATTCCAGGTCGAAATTCTAGAAATCTAAGATCTAAGGCATAAGAGTTTACATGTCCACTTGAATAATCAGATAACTGTTGAAATGATTGTATTACTGGTGTGCATGGAAACACACTCATTGAAATGCTTCATGTATACAATTTTTTGTTGCTAAGAGTTCGGCTCCAATACAATTGCTTTCTGTAAGATCCTTCACAGAAAAGGTAGATTTGATACCGACCTATATATAACTTATCACTTGGAGGGGACAGTGAGGAGAAGATTTTGTGGTGTGAAAATGTTTTTGAAAAGTTTGAACATAATGTACATTAATATTGGTGAATGATTGCTTTGTCTGGCTACAAGCTTTGGTGCAGACCTGTGGTGTAGTGTCATTTTTGTTGTTGTTAGCCATATAGCTTTTATCATGCTAACTAGCAAGATAGCAGAGTAATGTGATGAAAGTTTGCAACCTAAAGCCTAGCAAATCAAATGTTATGGTTTTGAAACATTAAGCATTTGAAAGTAGTTTACAGCTTACAAACAGCTTTGTCTTCCATTTTTTGGAGTTTGAAAAGACAAATTCTGCTGCCAGTTGACATTTTTACTTGATTCCTCACTCTTCCGAGGGCTCGTCCAATGAACGGCCATTAAGATGGCGTCAGAGATTGTCTCGGGGGGAAAGGACGAAGGCATGTTAAAACCAATACTGAAACGGGTGATAGGTATAGTAACCAGCACAAGTAGTTACAGTTTATCTAAAACACAATGTATGTCTCAGTGGATTGACTGAAACTTGGTGCTGTGAATGTATTGCACTGAAACGCCATGTTTGTGTCTGTGAGATTGTGGTCATGTATAGTGTTGGTCCATTCACAAAGGTGTCATTTCTCAAAATGTGCCAACTGCCAGAATTATGTCAGGTAAGGTGGGGAACTGGTACCTCTTCTGAGAAATCACAGTATTACACAAGGGCGCTGGCTGGTATGTAAATGATCAGCTCAGCAAAGTAGACAGGCAGGTTTTAGGTTCATCACAGGACACAATAACGCTCATGAGTTTTCATTTTCACAGAACTTCAGTTCTCAACCAGCATTTCTTTATGAAGCTGTATTTCACAAAAGATTTTTTATTATTAAAATTAGGACATTGAACAATCATGGTGTAACATGTGATGGGTTACCATGTGTGAAAATAGATTTCATCGCTTCTGGGGGATGAAACCCCCAGGAACTGCTAGCACTACACTTCAATGCTAACAACTAGTAGCTGTCAGTGTCTTTGCAATGGCATTGTGCAGCTGCCTTCCAAATGCGACTGAAGCTCAGTTTGTTGACAGGCACTTTCATCACAAGGCTGCCTTCTAAGGTAAGACAGCACGGACCATCGAGCTGCTTTCAGGTTCAGCTCCTATTTCGTATGGGCTGTGGTCTATCTATGAAAATAGTTGTAATTCTTAAACGTTCATCAATTTGGATATAAATACCCTCAAAGCTGAAATTCTGCACTCTAAGCTCATTATTTAAATTCAACTCCAATGTAAAATAACAATGACCACTATATCAACATCCAGATACTTACAGAACTGACTGGAATGGTCAGGAACAGAACTAATAACAACAAGGGATCATTCTGCTGAACTGTTTAAAAGTACCGTCATACATGCCATAAATACAAATAATAACACAAAAGTACCAGTATACATACAATTTTACACTTAATGAAGTAATATCTAAAGTGTTTGTAATAGAGCTATGCAAATTGTATTGTACACATCTATTTACGCGTATCTGTATTTATTTGTAATTAAGTTATTTGTAATGCCATATACCTTAAATTTACTTATTCAAAACATGTTACACAACTTTTAACTGACTTGGAATCAGATAAAAAACTGTTTGTTTTCAATGCCCCTATACCTCAGTCATAATATCATTCAATAAAACACAGAAAAATTTACTCAACTGCAGAAAATATGTGTTTCTGTAGTGAAAATTATTAATGTAATACACCCCCATGTGGCCATCAGGAACAGAAATGCAGTCTCACTTCCTGCTCTAAAATGTAGCAGCGTGGCTAAAATAAGGCTCCACCTATGGACTAAAACTCTTTGTTTTTCGGTAGTGGCATGAAAACACAGGACAGCAATTTTTATTTATTTTTTATTTAAAATATTATTTGCACTTTATTTATTTTAGTACTTATTTTCTACTCCTCAATAGAAAGTATTTTATAAATGTTAATTTGCCTTAGGTGTAAATAAATCATAACATAATCCTTGTAAATATTTAAGGTCTGAATACTTTTTTAAAATAGTTTTTACTGTGGTACTGTAGCTTCAACTAATTCATGGTCAAAGATGAACAAGAAGAAAAAGAAAAAAATATGTAATAAACAACATAGATAATAAGACTGAAAGGTGTGGAAAATGTTATGTTTTTATTGGAATACAGTAAGAAACAATATGATTTACAATATAAATGTACAATACAAAAAAAGATCTGAAAAACACTGATGCATCCGGCAATGGAATGGAAACGAATTTCTACTACAAATACTTCTCTAAATAGCTGCATTCTTAAGATTAGTTTTACCCTGATCATGCTTGCTTTGCTGAGCCTTGTTTAAGTATTTTACAATCTAAAACTCTTAAAAGTATATATACAGCAGTCAGTTGGAACTGGTATTCTTTGGAAGGAATTAAAATGCTGTTGCAGGAGGAGGCTGAATCAGTGCTGTCCCCAGCTCACGTAAGCAGGATCTTTTTGGGATTGTTGAGCAGCATCAGCATCAGCCTGTGGCTGGGAGGGCGTGCTATAGGCAAAAAGGTTTTTAGGGGGCCCATTAGCGGAGGGAAGGGGTGAGAGAGTAGTAGGAGGAGGGGAGGAGGGAGTCACCGAGCTGCCACCACTTGGCAGTAGTGTCATGTGTTTCAGACAAGCACATGTACAACCACAATCCTGCAGCAATCTCATTACATCGTTCCTGAATCTCACGCCCACAAGGGCGTACAGAACAGGGTTGAGGCAGCAGCGGACGTATGCCAGGCTGCGGGTGATGTCTTGTCTCATATAAATACTGCCCCAGAGGTCACAGTCTTTTATAACTGTTGTCACTCTGAATGACAGCACTATGGTGTATGGCAGCTGGAAGAGCAGAAAGAGCACCACCAGCGCCACCATGAGGCGTAGGGTCCGCTGCCTCCGCCAGCATTTCCATCCTCCCTGCACCAACACATACCCAATGGTCGTGTAACACACTAGCATGGCCACGCAAGGTATGCAGAAACCAGTGATTTTAGCCACGCCTTCCCACTTTTTCACCCACCCGCTGTCTTTCACCCATATATTCATCTCACACCTCTCCACGCCATCCAACATTCCTTTGCACACAGAGGAGAAGAGGAGCTCCGGCAGGCTGAGGATAACAGAGATTAGCGCCACAGCGATAGCAGACAGCTTGCTGTAGCACAACATGCTCGGACGTAGCCTGTGTGCGGCCCTGGCCCGAACCACAACCAGGTAGCGGTCAACACTTATACAAGCCAGCAGCAGTAAGCCGCCATATGTATTGATAGCATACATGCCACTGTTGAGCTTGCACAGGACATCTCCAAAAACCCAGTCACCATGGATAGTCTCGGCGGTCTGTAGCGGCAATGTTAGCAGCAGCAGCAGGTCGGACAGCGCGAGATAGAAGAGGAAGACGTCGGTCATGCAGCGCAGACGGAGGCAGCGGTAGCGGGCAAAGGTTGCGATGACCAGCACATTCCCGATTACACCAAGGACAAAGACGAGGGGGAGAACCGTGATCTGGACAACCTTGATATACGTCTCCTGCCACGCACTGCCCACACATAGCTCTTCCAAAGTTGTATTGTCTGTAGAAACAGAAGTGTAATCGCTGTAGTCCTCTGTGACAGTGGACGAATCTGTATTACAGTGAAAAAGAGAGAGAAAGCATTTGATTAATGACCTGAGTAGTGACATCACAGGGCACTGATTGATCATTAAAAATGATGAAAAGGCAAAGAATCACCTTAACCTCTTGTTACCTGTAGCCCCTCTGTTGATGCACAATTTGCCTTAGACATCCTTTAGCCCCTCCTCAGTGGTCAATTTCTGACCATGGAAAATTTAAATGATGGACCGCTATCAATTAAGCAGCAATGATGTATGTGTTGAACCAAATAATATAACAGTGGTTCTGTGGTCAGAAACTGACCAATAATGAATGGAGTAGAGCAAAGGTGTCCAATCCTATCCACAAAGGGCTGGTCTGGCTGCAGGTTTTCACTCAAAACAAGCTGAAGTACACCTGATTCCCCTTGTTTAATCAGTTGGTTTCAGTCTTCAAACTTCTGATCAGGTGACCTCCTGCTTTGTTGGAATGAAAACCTACAGCCCCACCGGCCCTTTGTGGATAAGATTGGACACCCCTGGAATAGAGGGTAGCTGACAAACTGTGCATCAAAAGATGGGCTACAGTTAGTTTTTGAACACCTATATAGTGGAACTATAAGGTAGGTGGAATTCATAAAGTGGCCAGTTAGTGATTGCATAAGGTTTTAGTTTCTAATAAAGTGGATAGTGAAAAGGACAGTTCATATATACCACAGTGGTCACCAGCCCTGGTCCTGGAGATCTACCTTCCTGCAGAGACTAGTTCCACACACCTGTTCCAGCGCATAAACTTCTTCAGAAGTACTTGATTGGGCAGTTGAGACGCATTAGTGTTGGGGGACAGGGAGAGGTACCGCCTTGTTAATTTTGTCTTTAAACTTTCTGTTTAGTGACGGCGACTGTTGATTTTGGCGTATCACTGAAGAAAAGTTTTAAAATGTAAATGTTTGGCACAATTATTTTTACAGATACTAATTGTACTGATTTGTGTTATTTTGCCATTGCTTGAGTGTTTATTGTTGATCTATTAGACCCTTAATAACATTTTGAACACCTTAAAACTCAGCAGAAGGAAATAAATAAATGGTCACATTTATTATTTGGAATGATTTAAGGGCTATATGTAAGACACATTACTTGGATCTAGCATAGCAAAGGGCATCATCTGTAAATCACAGCTGAAAGTAAGCAGCACTGGCAGGGTAGCCTCTGTTTCTCTTCAGCTGCAGCTCGACTGCTTGCCTTTAGAAAAGAGTTCCCACAGTGATGGCCACAGCAACACCTTTTCCTACAGCTATTTTTACTCATACCTTGGCTTTAACATAGAAATGAACATTTGTGTACAAGCAGTCATATCAGACAATTTAGGCATTTGTTTTATACTCGTGTTTTTTTTGGATCTCATAGTATTCTGAACTTTAAGGCTACTAATGGTATTAATGGTGAAAACAGCTGGGCTCGGAGTATTGCGCAACAGCACGAACACAGCATATCTTAAACTCTTACGCATGCATTCTTTGTTCTTGTGTTCTTGCGAGTTCAGTCTTGCGAAGTAACTTATCAAGAACATTTTTCTTAAGAACTTAAGTCCATCCTTCTCATTCACTCACTGTTTTCTAATAGAGGTCAGCATATCAGTAGATTCCAGCATTAAAATACAGTATGTTTTCAATATATTACATTGCATATGGTATCAAAACACATGAATTAAAATCAATTTACATAGTACAAAAGTTAGTTACATATAATTTGCTATTTTTTACTATATACTCCAGCAAGTCTGATTAATGCAGATGCCAAAAGTTTGTTTAATGAACTGCTTCAGTACTTCAGTAATTACAGGAATCAGAACAAAATAATGTGGGTCCAGCAGTAGGCCAGCAGCAAAACCGCTGCCCCACTGCTGGCCAAAAATAACCTTACTTGTGGAGTCACTTGTGAAATTAGTGGCCAGGAAGATGTCCAATGAGCCTGCAGAGTTGTTATAGTCTTCCATTGCACTGAAACAGAGAAAGAGCATTTTTGTTTAGTGACAATCCACATGATGGTGTATGTCAGTGGTTCTCAACTGGTGGCTTGCGACTCAAAAGATGTTCTCCCTTAAGACTTTTAAGGTTACAGAAGTTTTAAGGTGCATTTTTCTTTTACTTCCTTCTTATAACTTGTCTGAAACTTGTCATTGGTAGTCTAGCACTAAACACAATATGAAAACCTACAGTCAAATTCAGATTAGCTTAATGGACACTGAAAACGTATATTAAATATGTTTTTGTCTTACAATGAGAACAGAAGAGGGGCCAGAAACCAGTGTGTTTGCTTTGGTGAGGTACAAGCAAATGGCACTGAAAATTAAATTGCTTTGGGTTATGACTTTGGGTGAAATGGTAAAGGTCAATTATGAGTCCTGAGGCAAGAAAAGTTGAGAACCACTGGATATTACATAATAATGGGGTTTAAGAGATGTTCCTCGTACATGTTCACAATCCTAGAAAAGTGGTATAGTATAATAACAAGATGTATTGCCTTTCTATTGCTGCTGTTGATTGGCTTTCTGCAGTACTGGACAAAAAATGTTAAATAAAAATTACTGTATTACATGTCATATAAAGTCATGAAGCATGGGGTAAATGATATTCATGAGAGAGTTGAGGTAACAGCCTCCCATTATATTTACAGCAGAAAAGAGACCTGTCCAGGAAATCTGTCAGTTTTTGTAGCACTGACAGTATATTGTAGTTCTCTCCACCTCCCCTTTTAAATATATGTGCTAAAGCCCAAGTAAAGAACTGCTAAATCAACACAACCACCTCTGAGTATACTAAGAGAGAGAATGGTAAATATATGACACATTTTAATGTGGGTTTTGGTATGGCTTGAAAGTCTCTGGTATAGCAACTAAAAATTGCTGACTGCAGCTTTATCTGATTGTTGCTTGAACAGAAATGATGTCAGACAAAACAATAAATGAATAAACCTGCTAAAACTAAATAACATTTTTAGATTTTTGAGTAAATGAGATTGAGAAGTCTTTACTCCTTTTCTGCATCAATTCTTGTACCTATTTTAGTTAATAGTCAGTACATTTTGGCAAATCTCTGTCAAGTTAGCCTATCATGATGTAGAAATAGTTGCACATCTCTTTTTGCAAATTTGCTCTTGCTATATCGAGTTAGTTTGGAAACAGTGATAGATGGTTTGAGATCCTGCAATACATATGGGATTCTTATCCGGACAGGGATAGTTATTTTATATTTTATGTTTTTTGGACCTGGTCCTTTTGATAATGAACATTTCCCCTGTTTGCAGTTTCTGGGACTGGGGTGTTTGAGGACTTTTGTGTTCATAATTCCTCTTTCCATCAATTCTGACAAGCACAATGCATAAGGTTTTGCAGGGTTTGACTTTTGCTATACATATACATGTGGCTTACTCTTCAGACAAACAACTACTTCTCTAATTCTGTCATTGTCTGTCTTAATGACTCTGAAACATATCTGAAGTGTCTTGACGTTTATCAAAGCTTTTGCAAGCAGGTAAATGTTACTGCCAATCTTGTGCAAAGGGCCTTTTGTGGAACACTTAGAGAGTAGTGATTCATACGATCTTAAATTGTAGCCAATGTTTCTACAACTTGTCAAGGGTTATGGGTGTCTTCACTATAGCTTCTGTTTCAGTTTCCCTAAAAAATAGTCAGAAGAGATTTATTGTCTTTGAAAGGGTTTTGCACTTTAGAGTCAAGGTGGGTTGATGGTGTAAAAGCAGAAAATAAAATGGTATAGAAGACAACAGGCATCAAACACAGCATCCTCCACTGAAATTTATTTTAAGGTTCAATTAAAAGCGAACAAAGTTTGGCAATTTAAAACACCTGACCTGCTCATGTCACAGTATTCAATTAGCAAGGTACTAATATTTAGTTTAGTACACTTTAACTCAAATTTCAATTTCTTGTTCAGTATACAGATCAATGTGATGGATGGCATATGTGCTTTTGGCTATCCAAATAATAATAATAATAATAATAATACGATGCAACATGCAATATACATATTTTCAAATTTGATGTGTTTTCAAGTCTGAGGTCAAGATATGGCTTGAATGTCCCCAGTTAAGCCCCCCAAAAACTACAGAAAAAAGTCCAGGCATTTTTGCATGGGTGCGTGCAACCATGACCTCTCCTCCCTCCCTGTCCACTTTACTCTGATTAGGTGCACCCAGATGCCTAGGTTTTGATCACTGACAGTGGTTTTGACAAAATGGAGCAAATGAGAGACACTTAGAGACAACAAAGGTGGCAGAGGGATTTTTTAAAATTATACCCTTAAAAAAATAAACTTTGTGTGTATTTTGTTTAGAATCTGGAACACACTGAGAGCATATTTTAGTATATTCCATTTACGTCACTCTGCATTTAAGCATGTTGTCGCTGCCAAAAAAGTCTCTCCACTAATTTTTCTACACCATTTGAACTCAGCAGCTGCCATTTACATTGTGTGGCAATTTAATGATGAATGGACTAATAGAAATGCTTCAAATATGCTTGGAATAAAATCTATTTACATTAATTTACAAGATTAAAAACATTTTTGCCTTCTCTTAGAGAATTCTTGGGGATACTTGTATTTCTTTGGACAGTGATGATATGTAGGATGAGGCCAGCTCTAAAGTATTACTTCTTGCTGGCCTTCCGTTTAGCAGCTACAACAATTCAGCTTTAACTCAGGACTATAATTGAAATACAACAGAGAAAATTATAAGCTCTGACTATATTACCTAAAACCAGATATACTGGATATTATTGCCTTAATATGACAAATCCACTGAAAACTAACACCAGTAACATCAGATGATAAATGGAATTTAACCTGGTGATTCCAGATAATTCAAGATTATCCACAGGTTATTTATCACTTCTGAGAAACTGAGGAAACTTGACCCATTTAAAAATATATGCACAAAATGTTAATAACACAATGGCATGTTCTCACACTGCATGTGGGCTTGTTCATTTATTAATACATGGGTAGGACATGCAGAGAGTTTGTTTTGTGTGTTTTTGCCCCCACCAGTCAGTGAAACAAAAAGATGCTTCCCCTTGAAAGGCTTACCTATCTAACAGTTGAACAAAGTACAGGACATGTTCTTGGACTACACAAAGTGTGGTGTTGGGAGTCTTTTACAAGAATAATAAGCCAGATTGTATTGTGTATTAAGTGTCCTTTGTATACGGTGGTGGAAAAAAACATCTCGCAATATCTTCTATGAATTGACAATGGGCAATCCATAGGTGTCTTCTTCCCTTTTATTGTTTTATCATTCTCAATTTCCTTTTAGTTCTCTTAATTTTGAATGTTTCTCTTAAATGTCTTTACTATGTTACGACCATGAAATAATGTTTATTCTCACAGGCCATTTCAAACTCAAATTTGCCAAAGGTGCATTCTATAAGAGTCTGCTCTGTGACTTTTTTACATAATGTGCTGCATGTACACTAGCAACTACAAATGAAATGGTACCAATATAATCTGATGGTTTCTGGGTTTCATTTATGTGGGCTGTTGAAATTATAATGCTACTTCATTTGCTTTGACATGGTATCTGTGGGGAAAGCCCTAAACGATTCTATTTCAAGCCTACTATGAAAATGATTAATCAACAAATAACATAAATTATTCACATTTTATATTGATTATCTCTGTTTTACAGCACATCATGCACCAATTACTGTATTACATGTTGTATTTCTATGATGTAGGGATTGTGCCACTGCTTGTGCCCTATATACTTCTACCAGCCGTTTTCTCATGGCAAAGGGGAACGGGCATCATTAGACCTATATGGTGCCACTTTACTGGTTGTAATGTAAATGTACATCGATTAGCCAAAACATTACAATCGCTCACAGATAAAGTAAATAACATTTATTATCTCATAACAATGTCGCATGTCAACGTCTGGGATATAGTACATGGTAAGTCACATCAATGTGCAAGGGAAACAAAGGCTCTCCCTTCTGCTCCAAAGTAACAGAAAGGCTACCGTGGCAAGTCAGAAATTTTTAATGATGGTTATGGGAGGAATGTGTCAGAACACACAACCCTGGTCCTGGAGTACCCCCTGCCCTGCACATTTTTGTGTTTTTCTGCCACAACACACCTACTTCAGCTCAGAACAGGCTTGCTACAAAGCTGATTATTTGGATCACGTGTGTTTGTTGCAGGGTAAACACTAAAATGTGCAGGGTAATCGGGCTATCCAGGAGCAGGGTTGGGAACCACTGTTATGAGTTATATAAACGGTCGCTTAGGGCCCCTAAGCAACCAGTGTTGATAAAAATACAAATAGGGTGAGTAAGGACATTGCTTAATATGTAAATATCACCTTGGGCCCTCAAATATTGCATGTTGAACATCATTCCTGTGAAATCCCATGCCCAGTGTACACTACACCTACATTGGTTTTGTCTAAAATCAAAAGAATTACTTTTTATATGACTTATATATATATATATATATATATATATATATACAGATTAATATTGTTAAAAATGTTCTATTCAATATTTTAATGTATCTATTCAAAGTTTCTTGTATTTCAGCAACATTGGATTCATTGGAAAGTTTTGTCTGCCTTGAAATTTTGTACTTTTGATATAAGACATTATGGATTTTTTACACATTTATCTGCTACCAGACTTGTTTTACATTATTGAAAACATTGATCACTTTTGAAAGAAGTGTACATTTTGATATTTGTATTTTGTCAGTACTTGGAAGCCTATCAAAGGTTTGAATATACTATCCAAATTGAACATTTATGTTTAATAACTGGCACAACTTAAAATTTGAATGATTTAGATCACTTGACAGCATTGCAGGCTATTTTACTAAATTATGGTCAAAACACAAATATATGATCAGACGGCCACTTTTAATCTTAGGTCTTAAATGGTTAACACCTTTACGACTTAATGTGATCTCAAAATGAGCTATGACATTATTGTCCTCCTTTACAAAGCTGGTCTGCCATTCAACTAAAAAAAGATTTCCACTGCATAAAACTGGCCTGAATATATATCTCTGTAAGAGGCGCAGCTATAACTGCCAGCTGTAGAAAGCAGACTGAGAGGAAATGTGGTATTCTGCCTGTTCACACTCACTACGTGATGTTTGTGATGTCACTGTAGGCAGCTTATTACCAAAACTTTCAGAGCAGCAGCAGCAAGTATGAAATAACTACATTTTGTGGGAGTTAATCACTTATGAATATAAGTAATTTGGCTGTAACTTTAGAGTATTAGGCTTCATGCTCTGCCTCTGTTATTCTGTATTACTACTCTGAATTTTCACAAAGCTCCAGTGCCAGTGTTAACAAAAAGCATGTTCCATGGTTACCACCAAAACACATGTCAGCAGTTACTTCCAGGTGTGTTTTGTGGTTTACAATTGCACGCAAACCAAGATGAAGTGGAAGTCCTCAAGGCCACTTAACTTAAAATTTTACTCATAAATGGAGGCATCGCGTGGCACCACCCTGCCGTGCGACGAAGTGAGACAAGCCGTGGGATGACTTATCACTTCAGCTTTCAGTCATCCTTGCGTGCCAAGCAGCTTTAAGAACAGTTTCATGTCTAACACTGCTTCATTTGATCAGAAATAACACACTAGACCTGTGCTGTCCCTTCTGAACCATTTTCATTCACTCAAAGTGCATCAAATGCAGCGCATGGCTGAGCTGGTGCTGATGGCAAGGAGCTTAGAAAGGTAAATATGCGCTTATTGGAAATTATGGATGGGGTCTACAAGACGATTTGCGCATATATGATATAAGAAACCAGAAGATTTCTATTTTTTTTTTGATTGGCAATTTGTTGTACTATTGTTGCTGAGATGTAAAGAGGAGTTTTCAGGGTTTTGCTAGTTGAACCGTTTGTTATTGTGACATGGACGGAGTAAGCGGATGTTATCTGTTTCTTTTTATTCAGAGCACACTGTCGCCGTGTGCAAAGGTTTGAACAACCCAGATCAAAAGACATATTTTGTTGATTTTCAAAGTGAAAATAAATCAACACATTCTCAACAGAGAACACACTTCTGCACATTTTAATACAAGATTACTGTTCATTTCCTGAATTTAACATATTGAAAAAATAAATAAACAAAATGCGGACTGTGCAAAACTTCTGGCATGTTTATATTGTATGTTTTATTTTTTCCACTATGTTAAGCTCAGCAAATAAATTTAAATTGTGCACTAAAATTTGCAGGAAAATGCCTTATTTAAATCTGTTCTCTGTAGTGGATGTGTTATCTTATTTTCACTTAGAAAATCAACAAAACATGTCATTTGACCAGAGGTGTTCAAACATTTGCAATAATATGCAGGCATATTGGCATACAGCAGTGAGTTATTCTTACATGCATAATGTCATGGATAAAGCAATAGCTATGTTATATTATATTATATTATATTATATTATATTATATTTAAATAGCTAACTACATGAATAAATATATAAGTTAAAAGGCAAACCTTCTCATTCAGACCATTCTTACATCAGGGACATTTTAATGACTGAGCTATTTTCACACATTTCTTATAGCAAGTTAGTCAAGTTAATAGACTCTGAATGCAAAGGCCTTAAACTATGTGCTAAAGATATATGTGATATGTAAGTATTTTAAGTTTTATTAATTTATTAATGTATTATTATAGTTATCAATAATAATAATAATAATAATAATAACACCAATAATATCCATCCATCCATCATCTAAACTGCTTATCCTTCTGGGTCGCGGTGGACAATAATATTAATAATAATAATAATATATAATTATTATTAGACTTTCTGCACACTTTGAAGTGTATTTATGACATTAAAATAGATCTTTATGTTATAAAGACACTCCACATCAGAATGTTTTGTTCCGCTGCCTGGGATGTTTGGAAGTTTTTTTGGCAGATTAAACAGTTTGGGCTCATGACTTGCTACAACTATTGTTGTAAGCATCCTGAGGAGACTCATTCTTATCTAACTGACTACCTGTAGGATTACCAGCATGAAAAAAATAGCTGAAAAATACCTACTAAAAAACATACTCTTTAATTGCTATCTGTGTTATTTGTGTTTTGGCAGGTAATTTGTATCAATATTTTTATGCATTTTCACCTACGTACATGACAGATGTACGTAGGCCTTAGTAACTACTCAGTAAGAGTAACAATAACTTTTCTACAGATCACTATTTTTTGTACATTTACATCATTTTTTTACACTATAGATAAACTTAATGTTGTGTGTATATAGAACAGCATAGGCTGAGCTGCAAAATATGGATATTAAACTCACAAAACAAAGGCACAAAATAAAACATTTTTAGCACAGTTTATGCTAAACAGTTTATGCTAGGTGAATTTTGAAACTGAATCATGCATTTTGCTTAATGCCATTTACATTTAAATGTCAGCAACAGATGGTCAAGAGTCCACCTCTCTGACTGTAGCAGTTCTTAAAATACTATATACAATATTACACAACTTTAAAACCTAGATCTATGCATTCTTATCACATTGCCTTTCTATAGTTAAATTTTCATTGCTTTCCCATTTCTCAGCCCAACGCAGACTCACTTCTATTTCACATACATAGCTCTACTACACTGATCCCTCAGGGCCTGGCATGTATTATATAATGGCTTTGAGTAATGTTTGAAGCAAAAGCTCTGAGGAAATTATGTGTGGAATTATATGTAGAAGCATGTCTACTGGTCATTTGAAGTCACGCATTTTTTTCTTTGTCAGTTTTAAGTTTCAGGGGAATCAGTTTCAGGGCATCGTGTAGTCATTGCTTATTTTTGGTTTGTTTAAGTAACGACTAAAAAGGATAGATTTTTTTGTTTAAAAAAAAAACTCTAATACAAGTATCACACTATATCTGTATCCAAGAATAAAACATTGAATTGTATTACATAATTACTGTATTCACTGATATATTTATTGACTTATTTACTAATTCATTTTTAGTTATTTTAGTAATATATAAAGTGCCCACATGTTCAGCGATACTGTATCGTTTATGTATTTTACAAAATTACTATTTACATATCCTAATGCAACCATTTTTTACAATGCATGATCTGTTCTGTGTTCGAGAGTTTGTGCATATGTTGTATTTAAAGTTCTGTCAAATATAGCTACCATAAACTTACTTGACTACCATATATATGTGTAAGAACTGTCTACTACTATTCTACTACTGTATTTTACTGTATTTTAACAATAGAAAAATTTTACCTCATGCACAAATATATGTAATCGAGCAGGAAAAACTAATTTCAAATATGCACAGTGCTGTGCAAAAGTGAGAACTAAGAAAATGATATGTAAAGCTATGAAACATGTTTATTTGTTTAATATTAGAACAATTATGTAACAAATTAACAACACACTGTGTTTTTGTGTAGATGAGTATAATCAGTTCTTCATTAAATTAAATCAAGTGTGATACTGATGGGATTTTTACAAATCCATTCAATGACACTGAAAAATAAGGAAAGCAAATGTGTCCATTTAACTGTGTTCTTCTAAGAACTATGAATAACTATGAGCAGCTTTAAAAAAATCGTGTTACATTTCACTATGGTCATATTTATTTGTGTTTATTCTAATGTTTTATAGTGTTTTAACTGGAAGAAATAACCTTACTGCTGAGAAGTTTTCATGGTTGTTTATGAATTTTGCACAGTACTGTATATAAAAATATTCACATATAGGATGCATACATATGTAAACACAAATGATACTAGATCAAAATTCTGAGCATCTATATTTAGGGAGACTGGTCTGACTCACCTCTGTGTACAGTAGATTTTGCAGTAGAAGTGCCTTGGTTTTGTAAGGGAGCGTGTGCTATGCTTTGGGTGTCTGGTCCTGACCCCCTGAGGTCTACATCAGAGAAAAGAGGGATGCTGCTCTGTTCTCACCCTATCACAGCTCTCTGCTTGTGTTGTTAGCTGTGCATGAAACTTGTCGACACCAAAAACACCCCAACCACAGGCAAATTTAACCCTGACAAACAGCTTTTTTGAGAAAGGGTGTTGTTTTCCTTTTCTGTAGTGGCATCTGAGGAGGGGCCAATAGGGTTTGAGAGTTCAGTGCCAGCCAACGATTCAAACTGTATTCATGTTAGATGAACACCACAACCTCCCCATGTAAGTTTTCACTACACAATATGGAAGCAACACTGGATATGGAAGTAATGAGACACTTTGGCTTTAAAAACGGAATCAAAACTGTTATTTCTGTGGTACAACACTCATGCAGTTTGTATTCTAGATAAAAAGGCTGCGGTTGACACCAAACAAGAGACGTGAAGGAAGAACTGCCTCCAGACTACAACAACAACATAAAATTAGCAAAAAATGACTTTGATGGCAAAATCACGAAGGAGTCAACGCCAGCAAAGGCCAAATGATTGTCAACGCATAACCCAAAGGCTAGATGACAGACTGCCAAAAGCTACAGAGATGAGTCAGTTTAATTCTAAAAAAAAGATGAATAGGCAAAAATGTGAAGACAGAAAAAATACTTCCTCATTTCTTTCGAAGATTCAAGAACATTTCAGTTCATCTTTATGGATGATGTAGCCAAATGGGCAACAGCACAGGTTATGCCTACCCTCTTAATATATATATATATATATATATATATATATATATATATATATATATAAAATTAAAAAATACATAAATAAACATTTTTACATTTTGTGAAAGTACTTTCCACTTTAGCCAGATTCTTCACATTAACATATGTCATTTACAAAAGCAAAAGACCCATAAACTGAAAGGTTCTTTATTGAACCAAAAGTGGTTCATCGATGGCACTGTTCCAAAAGAAACTTTACAGGCACTTTTATTTTTAGGACTGTATGATGAAGAAAAATAGCAAGGTAAGCTGACTCTCCAAGTCAACTCACCTAACCCAACCCAAAGTTCATATTACCTAAAAGAACATCAGCACAAACTCAGAAAAGAAACAGAAAAATCACAAGCCACTACAGGCATGCATTTCAAAGGAAAATGCCACTAGATTACAGGTTCTATGAAGCTACACTACATATAAAAGGTTTCTAAATGACTCTTGGCTTGAACATATGATTCGAGAAAACTTTAACATGGTGTAGAACCTTTACATCATGTGAAGGTTCTTTAAACTAAAAATGTTCTTCACATTGAAACGTCTCATTTACAAAAATGGTTCTTTAAAGAACCATGTACTGAAAGGTTTTCAAACCAGTCCCCAGGGCGCAAACGGTCCATGTTTTAGATATATACAAACTTCCAACACACAGAGATACAGCAAAAATGGGGAGCTTCTGGGAAACCCTATGGATCAGGAACCAAAAGAGGTTCTTATATAGCATCATCGCAAAAACCTTTTTAGCACCCTTATTATTAAGAGGGTGGTCTATTCTGATCAAATAATTTAATTCTACACTATTTCACATTTATTGCTTAAAACATGCTAAAACATACAACAAGCTTTTGCACAAAGAAGGTTCTGAAATAAAAGATGAGATTGTGTACTTCTGTTTCACACTGCTCTTTCTATCTGCAATCCAGAATGCTTAACATACACCATATGTTGGAATTGGAGGGCACAGTATTCCACTGGAGAGCAAAGTTTCACTGATGCTTTGCACTGCTTTGGAGAAGTTCAATTGCAAAGACATTACATGCAGCAACAGAGTTTTGTATGCCACATATGAGTCAATAGATTCTTCCTCCTTCTGAATTTAGTCAGCATCTCGACAACCAAACCTCTGCTCGTAGTCTAATTTGAATCAGACATTTGGTTTTATCTGGAACAGACAATTACTAGTAAAGTCTGACAAATTGGACTGTCAAAAGGCAAAATCCATGCAGTATATTTCATGAGAATCTCCTTGACACTGTCACTCTAAAAATGACCCTTGACACAGAGTACTTGTGGAATTTGTGGGGGGTTCTGGATTCTGTTTGTGGTTTATTCTTTATTATAATGATCTTTCAGTGGGCAGCGTCTATTCAAACTGCAATTATTTTTGTATCACAATTATGCATAAGGTATTTTTTCATGCAGCAGTTAATTTTGGTAAACTAACCCTATTGCTAAAACTGGGACTGTTGAGTCAGTGTAGATGTTTATGAGGTGGGTTAGATATACCGGGTTGGTCCTCAGGTCAGAATGGGGTCGTACTGGTTTCACACAGTTTCTGTTCATGCAGAGGTTACGGTGGGTTAGATCGGGTGACTTTTTGGCACTGTCCCGAAAGTCACAGTTGGCAGGGTGTGTGCTGTGGGCTCATGCTGGGTTTAATGCCATAGAAACAATGACTTCTTCTTAACCTGAGGTGTGCATGCACCCAATCTAAAAATTTTTATTTATGTGATTGCCAGCAAATTCAGTCTTAATGCATGTGAAAGTCTGTATAAACAGATATGAATCTGTTCAGCTCTGTAATAATGTGTGGCGCTTGTGGTAAGTTCTCTCTCTATATATCTCTCCTTCTCTCAGGCGTGTGGTAATTTGTTTGCTAGTAGGTGTGTGGTAAGTGAGGTTAGTTGTCCTCTTGTCTTTCTCAGCCATATGTGTTTGTGTGTTGGGCAAAAACTGGAAGGATGACTAAAGTTCAAGATTGTCAGCACACATCCTCTCTCTCACTTTCTCACCAAATTTTGTTTTGATCAGATTGTGGTTAAGGAGGTTCGTGTGAAATGTTGACTAAGGCCACACGCTTGCAGACATGCAGTTGAACTGCCACAAGCAAAAGGTCAGTACCAGGACCTTTATGAGCATTTGATCCAACTGATTTGTCAATGCTCCGCCCACAAATTGGGCACTGATTCTTAACAACTGCTCAGAGATTGGACACACTTTAAAGAATGTCCAGAAATAAACCGTCACTATTAAAGTTTGGTCAGTAACAGCCATACACGTCAGCACTAGGTCAAAAAAAGAAAGAAAAAAACAATGCTATGACGATGCTGAGTTCCGTGAGTGCTCCTTTGGAATTTATAGTATGTTAGCACAAAGCTAACATTTTTTTGGATGTTCTAGATCAAACATGGACATTTGAAGCTTGTACTAGACATTTCCTATTTTTTATTTAAAGTTTGTAAAGATCTGAACATATATTTTACCTAGCAGTTTTATAGTGACTCTTGATATTTCCCTGACATTTCTAAAGCCCTGCCTTTTCATGGCTAACAACTGACTAAATCCTGAGTAGACAATTGCTCGTGTTCACAGTCAGCAACGTATTTCCTCGCATAATTGGTCCCAACCATTGTAAATCAGAACATGATTGGTTGATTCCTCTGTCACTTCCCAATTAAGTTGGCGGTTAATCTAACATGTACGGCCTCCTGTCCAGCTCCTGATATCCTGATCAATGAGAGAGCCTGTATCTACCTAGATACCATGTGAAAAATATACTGATTGGCCAGTTTTCCATTCTGCTATCGCCTTATGTCTGATTATTAACCTCAGAAAATCTGTGTTTTGATCACTTCAGCTCACTACTGAAAGGTATGTCTCTTTATATTTGTCATAGTTGCCAAGATTGAAATTCAAGGATGTATCCAGAATTGCTGGAGAACACCAAACACACAACAATGTAGGAGTCCAAACTGAACAAAGGATATACATTGTCTGTGGAAGAATTCCACAGCTATGAGAGGTGTGATTGTCAGCTAACATCTAAAGAGTGATTAAATGATGGGTGGGTGAAAATAACTATAACCAGAAAGCTAGGTTAGCCATGTTACCCAGAGATGCTGAAACAGCTCACTAACAACCATAAACTGGTTGGCAAAAAGGTAAAAACGCAAACATACTGACAGAGCAGTTTGCTGCATAGCCATGATCTAAAGCACTACGGAGACAATTTCCACGACCACCGGTTCCAGTGAATAAAAAGCTACTCCCTGCCAAGCACCTGCTCTCTTAAATGCAGACAGCTTTAGAGGGGGAATGTGAAAACTGTTCCACTAAAAGCAGCTGAAACAGCTAGAACTTTAAAGCACAAACTGCCTTAAACACAACATTAGTTGGCAACAGTGTTTGGCATAGATGCCACTTGACTGTACAAACACTTCATGAATCAGGGCAGTGGTGTTAACTGTGAGGTGTCATAAGGGGGATTTACCCCTGTTAGGAAGGTAGCAGGATGGATCCAGCAGTCCAGGCTGTGAAAATGGTCAATAACAAAAAAACGCAAACACTGGGTCAACGAAATTACCAGTTAGCTTAGATTGCTTAAAAAGAGGCCACAACATAATTTTACCAAATGGAAATCCCGCAATATTTATCATAAAATATTTATAAAGGCAGGCTATAAATGGACAAACAGATAACGGGAACATCATGCCTAGAAGCATGTACAGTAAATCAATCTTGTGTAGGCTAGCTGGGATGTTTTGAGCATTGCTCTGGACAGTAAAAGAAAATGTTCATAAAGTACTTTTTACTCAGTGACTTTACAAAGATTGACGCTGTGTAGGCTGGCTATGATTTTGATCTAAGCACATCCACTCTGTACAGTGAAGGAAATGCCTGTAAAACAATTTTTTGCTTGCTAAGAACTTTAAGATCAGCACTTTGTAAGCTGCTTATGGTATAGATTTAAACAGAGATAGTGTTCTGTTTTTTACTTAAGACTATAGGAAGGAAAATGGGCATCCCTTAACTTCTCTTTCTTGAAAATGAAGGTGCCAAAAGGACTGTGTAGAGCAATGCAACAGAAAAACCATTTTTGATTCTTTTAAAACTTTCAGTGGATACACAATACTCTCCACATATATAGCCATCCCTGGTAAACAAAAGCAAAATTGAGTGTAAAACAAAACATTTTTTATTGTTTATTCTTTAATCTCTCATTCAAAATATTAACAACAATCTAGCTTACAATCTAAACGACAGTGGCTGAATAACTTAAATCTTATCAGGAATAAAATACCATGGCATAAATATTTTTCTCAGATCTGTCACAGTTGTTAGTACCCCTTCATTTAATACTTTGTGCAGCCTCCCATTGCAAAGATAACAACTCTGAGTCTTTTCCTATAATGCTTAATGAGACTGGAGAACACATAGCAAGATATGTAAGATCATTCCTCCATACAGAATCTCTCCAGATTTTCTCTCAGATTCTGAAGCCACGCTTGTGGACTCTCCTCTTCAGCTTACCCCATAGGTTTTCTATGGGGTTTAGGTCAGGGGACTGGGGTGGCCATGGCAAAACCTTTATTCTGTGATCAGTTAACCATTTTTGAGTTGATTGTGAGGTATGCTTTTGGACCACCATCCTGCTGGAAGATCCAGCTTTGGCCCAGTTTAAGTTTCCTGATTGAAGTAGTGAAGTTTTGATTTAATATCTGCTGGTACTTGATGGAGTCCATGATACTATGTATCCGAACAAGCTGTCTAGGGCCTTTGGAAAAACAATCCCACAGAATCACAGATCCACCACCATACGTCACAGTGTGGATGGGGTCCTAATTTGAATGGCTATCTTTGTGTCTGTGCCAAACCCACCGCTTGGCTCTATTTCGGTCTCATCTGACGATAGAACATAGTCCTACAGAAAGTTCCAGTAAAGTCTGGCAACCTGTAGATGTTTGAGGTTGTTCATCCCTGACCATAGAGGCTTTCTTCTGGCAAACAACCTGTGGTTATGCAAGTGGCATCTGATTGTAGTGTGGGAGATGTTCTGACTCCAAGACCTAACTGTCTGCAATTTTTGATGTGATCTTATGAGATTCTGAGCCACTCAAAACATCCTTCTCATTTTGCATACGGTTCGCGGAATCTGTCTTGTGTCTGCTTCCTGGTAGACTCTTAACATCTGCAGTTGCTATGAACTTCTTTATTATTGCCCTGATAGTGGAAGTGGGCTTTTCAACTGTTCAGCTATTTTCTTGTCGCCATTTCCTGATTTGTGCAGCCCAACGACCCTTTGCTGTATTATCTGGCCTTTCTCATAGTAATGAATGACTAATATACTAATGGCTAATATTTGTACCTCAGTTAAACAAGTCATGGCTGACCACTTAAGTGTTCCAAATTGCTCAGGTGAACTTTAAAACATAAAACATGAATAGGAATAGGTTTGAGAAAAATATTCATTTCATGATAAGATTTAGGATTTGTCTTTCTATGAATGCACTTCAATTAAAGGTTAGATAGATTTTTATTAATATTTTGAATGAAAGGTCAAAAGAATAACCAATAAAGAACATTTCTTACAGCTCATATTGCTCATGTTTACCAGGAGTGCCAATATTTGTGGAGGGTTAGGGTTACTCCAGCATTTTCAACCCAAACTTTTTCTGTTGCATCTATAGTATACAATCACTACAGACAATAATTTCTACATATTTTTCTGTACTTAAAAAGAACAGAAAACTTGTTGACTCAAAACACACTTATATTAGAAGTCATTTCAGCACCTGCCCTCGGTCTTCTATTTATGTCTGTTTTGAGTCAACAGGTTTCCTTTTGTTATTTTCTATGTAAAGAAATGTGCATCATAATTATTGTCCATAGTAATTAACCATACACTACAAATGTAGCAGATAGAGATTAGGTTATAAAACGCTGATCTAGTTTATTTGGCGTCATTTTTTTCCCCTGGATACTCTTTAGACAACTGCAAATATTAGCATGCCAGTGTGTTCTGGCCTTCAGGGAAACAAATATGGTTCTTCTATGACAACACTTGAAAGAACCTTTTCAACACCTTTATTTTTATGATTTGAGATTATGTAATTCTTAAATCAAAACCAAGCCATAGAAAACGTCATCAGGAGAAGCACAGAACAATTTATGCCGTAAAATCTGCATTTCCATTAAGCTCCACATAAGAAATGCTGAAATTATTCATAGTAAAAATGACTGAATGGAAAAGGACAATTCTAGAAGTGAGTGATAGAAGACAATGTGTATAACTACAGGCATTATTAGGTCTATGGAGTATTGGATAGTAAATTTGATTTGTACACAAAATACAGCATGTATTGTTGTTATTTCTACCACAATACATAATTCTGCAAAAAGTGTGTTTGCAGGAGTTTTTTCCCCTCAAAGTTCACAAGGAAAAAAGGAGTAACAGACATTAAGTTCACTTTAAAAGAGACACTAACATTCATGCACGCAAAATTAGTTAAAGGTGATATTTCTGGGGAGATTAGATATAAGACAATTCACTTGCATAATGATGGGAAAAGTCAAAGAAAAATAGATTAAAAAACAGGTTTATGTGTGAGTTTGTAATTGAGATTACTTGAATTGTGAGAAGGAGAAAATGCATTCACTTTTAAGACTGAACTTTGAAGGTGTGGAAAAATGTATATAAATATATATGTATATAGTTTAGCTTTCTGTGTAGTTTTGTAATAAAATATAACATATAAACATATAAACATATGTTTTCTATTTTCTTTCCTGACAGCGAAAAACGATTGGCCGTTTTGACAGGAAATTAAATAAATGAAAAGTGGTCTCTGACTTTGCTCAGTGCCGTATATGTATGTGTGCCCCGAGCTCCTAATCTTCGAGTCTGAGGCACTTTCCTGTCTCTCTCAAAGATAAAAAAAGGGAAAACCCTCAACACTCAAAGTAGGAAACGCGTGCGAAGAGCTCGGCTACCACATTTACGCAGAACTGTTAAGACGGTTTCAACCATCATGACACTATGAAGCATGCGCTCACACGCACATATGTGTTATGTTGAAATATACACATGCACTCATACATATATAAATTTTGCATATGTATATGTATACCTCAGTCAGCAGTGTATGGAATACAGTTGAAGTTTCTAGGAGGGTTTTGTGTAATTAGCTGTTTACTGTAAGCCAGTTCTGCAATGCTTCTAGAGAAACTTATCGTGACAGGAAGTCTCCACTTTGGGATTTAAATACACAACACAAACACGCTCAAATGCATACTATGCCCCTAGTACGGCACCACATCCCAACCTGTCTGTCAACACAGAAAGGAAAAAAGTGGGCTGTTTTCGTACCCTTCAGTCAACACACTCAAACACATTAGTTTCTGTCCCGTACTTAAAGCGTGCACTCCACCGTCTCATTCGGGAGCTCTTAGTCTTTTGCGCACAAACACAACTGTGGGTTTTAGAAAAGTACAAAATGCTCGCAGGACTGCTGCTGCTTCTGCTGGAGGTACCGTTAACTTGGGGTATGAAAGCTTTAACCTTAGACCTTTAGAGACTGAACTAATACCTTTTAACAGACATAACATGGACAGAATAATGCAGTGAATGCTTCTAACATCACCAACTAGTATCACTAAGGAAAGTTAGGTGACTTCTATATTTTTAATATAGAAATATATATTATATATAATTATAAATATAGGAAGTATATATTGACTATTTTGAGACTTCTTGTTATTTTTGATGTTGGTGGCACTGAAGAGTTTCTGCTTTTCCAGGTCAAACAGCTGAAGGCACCTTGCTGGGATATGAAGGTAAGAACAAAAAAACAACCTGATCTGCTAGCCACTGCCACATTTTCTTCCAATCCCAAGAATACATATTTCTATCTAATACAACCATTCATAATTAAAACTTCTGTTCAAAAGTTTGGAATCACAGTTCTAAAGTTAGTCAATGGAAAGGAATTAAGAAAAAAAAATCTTCTCAAGATTCTAACATTAGTCAGTGTTTTCTTATTTGGGATTTGTTCTTAGGTAAGAACAGAATCTACACACACCCAAGAGCACAAAGGTGTGAACAGCTCTGCAGTTTAAGAACACGTCATGAATCAGACATAGACTTTTACTTAGGAAATTTCTCAAGTACAAATTTAAGCAAAAACTTTGGAAGACATTGGTGAATGAGGCCCAGTGTTATTTAATAACATAAAACCAGTGTATGAAATGACTATTATGTGAATCCAGTGCAACTTCACAGGTTTCAAATAATTATTAGGACACTAGGAAGCTGTGCATAACTGTAAAAAAATTACAGTATCATTTTATTCACTTTTTTCTCAGAATTCTTGAAATATCAAATAAAATTGGTAAAAATAATTTTTGTTATTTGGAAAAATTGCAAAATTGCAAGAAATTCCAAACTTTTGAACAATAGTGTTCATAGATAAATATTTCAGATATATGTTTCACAAAAAGATGACATATTTGTACTGTGTAAGTTGTACAGTGTAAGTACATGTTAATGTAAGGTAGATACATCGTTTGATCAACCAAAAGAGTGGACAGTAAATTACAATATATTATTCAGCATTCATTTCTTGTTCACAGAATTCTTGAAATATATCTGTATAGAAATACTTCAGATAAAATATTACTTGAGTTAAAGTAGAAGTATTCTATCTATATTTGAACTTACAATGTTGTTTCACTGTCAATAATTGCAGTAATTTCTTGTATGTAGATAACAGCACAACCCAGTCCCACAAAGCTTTTAATTTCAGTGCAAATGGAACATTTCTCATAGGTGAGCCATGATGTCTTATGAACCTGCTTAATTACACTTATTTATTTTTAAAGCACAGTGTTTAATTAAGCAATGACTATAAGGTTAAACTGCAGAATGTCATGTTTGCCTCAGTTTAACTGGAGAATTATCTGCTATGTTTTTTTTTTTGGACAGCTGTGGGTCACTGCATTAGTTAAGTAAGAAGCCAGAAGTGGTAAAGCAATAGCAAACATCCCTGAAAACTACAGTAATGGATGGCTGAAGAATATTTTCAGTCATGAAGCGAAGCTGAATATATAGATTAAAAAAGTATAAGTACTTTAAAATCTTATTCGATTAAAAGTTATAGTATAAAGACAAATATGTACTAGAAGAAAAGTCAGAAAGTATGGACATCTAAACATATTCAGGTATAAAAAAGTAAAAAGTAAATGTTTAAACAAATAAATTGAAAGTTTGCTTTGTCTGATGGTGTGTGACGCTGTAACATGTGGTGTGTGGTGTGGCGACTCATCGGCAGTACTGGTCCTTGCCCAGAGACAAATAAGCATTTCATTAGCACTCAGGAATTTAGCTGGATGTTTTGTACAAAAGTACAAATTTTTCAAGTAATATTTAAATATAGTAACAAAGTACAATTATTCAATTTTCATCCTGCATGTAAACACAGTCACTAAAGTAGCTTTTCTTTTTCATTTCAAAAACATCTCAGAGAGATGCAGAGAAACTTGTTTATGTAGAGTTACTGTAATGCTGCTTTTACTGGCCTTCCTAAGAAAACAATACATCCTTTATAACTTGTACAAAATGCAGCAGCACGGATCCTAACAAAAAACAAAAAAAGAGCCCATATCACTCCCGTTTTGAAAGAACTACTCTGGTTGCCTGTATGTTTTAGGGTGATTTTAGATCTGCAGATACTGGCCGTCTACAAATACCTTCTTTAAAATACTACAAAAGTAAACAGGCCCCTTTCAGTTATTATATTTCTGAACTGTAAAACTCAATTCCACCTTTTATTAGGCAGTCAAGCTCAGTACACACTTTTAAGAAACACCTGAAAATGTACGTCTTTAATTTAGCTTTTAACTAAGATTCTAGCTCTCTTTCTCTTTTTTTAATTTGATCTGTCATTGCTTTATATGATTTTCAATATTATTCTTAGCTTTTTTCCCTTATATTGCTGTCACCAAACAGTAATAGTAACAGATAATCTAGCTCAACTCTTAATTTCTTCTATTATTGTGAAGTTTATTACTTGTCTGTAAAGCACTTTTAGCTGCCAGTATATAAAGTGCTCTATTAATAAAGATATTATTATTATTATTACATATTTTCCACCCATGTGAATAAATGTTATGCTTATGGTTTTAGACACTACCATGAAGAATACACTAACACGACATCACAGCATTCACCACATAATGTACACCACTGGTAAGCCTCAAAAAAGTCAAAGCACAGGTTACAGTTTGCTACAAAGTACATAAAAGCTCCTGGGACACAATGTAATAGGCAGCTAAGCAGATAAGAATTAACCAGAATTAGATGGGATGAGGAAAATGTGAAATAAAAAAAGCTCATGACTGAAATCAATACCACCTCTTTAGATTCATGGTGGCATGGTGTGGGTAGTTGTTAGTGGCTTGTCCACACCGACGACTGAAAAGAGCAACAGCAAGGCGAACTCTGAAGTGTGCAGAAAAATCCTAATTGCTTAAATTGCTTAAAGAGACTGTATAACAACAGCTGTAATTCCTAGTTCAGCCAATATAAAATAAATACTGAATTAAACACCTGAACTGAATCTGACATTCTGTACTTTAACCTCAGTCATAGATTCATTTCAAATTTAATGTGGTGGAATACAGAGCCAATTAAAGTGTCACTCTCAAATTACCTACAGCTTGCAAGATTTTTTTTTTAGCCAGTACTGTGCAAACATCAGAGACCACCCTTCATTTATTTAATTTTCTGTGAAAATGGCCATTAAGTACTAGCTAATTATTCCAGGAAAAAGGCAGACAACAGATTTAGCAGAAAATTACACAGACGCTTCAACCACTACATATAGTCTAATGGACATATAATACATATATTATACATATATATTATAAAATGTTTTCAGCATTTAATGTGCCACCCTTATAACAGCTTCCAGTGTTTTCAAGAGACTTATTTTCAGTTTTTTAAAGAAATCTGCAGAGATGTTTTTTTTACACACCTCCAAAGCTCAGTCTTAGAAATTAACTACATTTTCTGATCCAAGTAATAACAAACACACTTAATGATGCTGAAGTCGAACTCTGGTTTGGCCAGCACACTGAGCCTCATTCACCAATATCTTTTTCTTAAATTTGTTCCTGATAAAGGTCCTAAGAAAAAGTCTACATCAGATTCATGACATGTTCTTTAACCACAGAGTTGTTCACACCTTTGTGCTCAGAACATTGGAAGATTTTTTCAGATCTGAAGCAAGATTAACATCTTTGAACGTTTCTCAAAGATGAAAGCTTTAAGTGCTGTATATCTGATGGTGGCAGTTTTGGTAGTCTAGCAGGTTTTGCAAGGTTGCCTGGTTGTCTAATTTATTTTAATCTTTTATTAGTTTTGAAAACTTATTTTTCCATTGACTTTCACCTTCTTTATGCAAGTGGATTATCTTATCACTTATCTTAGAAATAACTCCTGAAAACTGGAAATGAAAGGTGGTCTCTTAGCTCAGGCCTGAACGACTTCACTGTGAGTTTGTAAACAAGTGTGTGCGTATGTGAAAGTGAGAGAGAAAGTTTTTTAATTTATGGTGCCTTTGGTCTTTCAGAAAATGCTGACCACAATGTGACTCAAGGTAGGATAGAGCACTGTGTGGATGTCTGTGCGTGTGTGAGTAATAGACCAGTAACACTGTATAATTGTGTCAGTGCACGTGCTTGTCAGGATGAGTAATAGGACTGTAAAATGGTGTTTGAAGGACTGTGTGTGAAAGAGAGAGGCTACACATATTGGTAGTGTAATATTAGTGTAATATCTTTTTGCGGAACATGTTTGGTGCAGTTAAAATGAATACATTCCCTTTTTGCAGTGTACAGCTAAAGCTCACTCTGTCTGTGCCTTTCAGAAAGTTTCCAGAATCAGAAGAACATCTATAACTACAGACACTGTAATGAAACACTTCTGATGATGAATGTAGAAATTTGCTGGTATAAAATATTTCATCCAAACATGACGGCACTGGGGGAGGAAAACTGGTGTAACTGGGACCTGGTGATCGGGTAAGCCAGCTGATTCTCCACTCTTTCATTCATTCTTACAAAATTTGTGAATTTAATTTAAAGTGATACTCCCCTTTTCACATTCGCATCATTCATCACATTACTTAAAGAGGTCAACCATGACTGTTCTGAGGACAAAGCGTTGAAAGTACTTTCAGCAGAATAACATAGTTTGTCATTTCCATTCATTCCAATGGTGTGCTTAATACCATTTGTGTAATATTTATAAATGTGTTTTATATATCGTTGTTGTTGGAAGAAAACCTTGTATCTCTAAAATGGTAACTTTACAGGAGAGAGAAAAAAACTAGTTTACTTTTAATGTAAGTCAATGGAACCAGACTTTTCATTTTGGGTCATTTCTTGGAGTCCATGAAATTTACAAACAATGTAAAGGGTAACAGGTGTTTTCAAATGATGTCAAAAACTGAAAAATGTCAAAGATGGAGATATGAGGTTTGCTTCCGACAACAGTGATATGTTGCATAGAGTAATACTATGTGATGTGACTGTGACTATTACATAACCCCTCTGTCTCCATAATGGCTACATGCTGGAAACACCTTCAGTGAGAGTGAACTTACTAGATAGGATGTTGTCAGATTAGTGCTTTCATTTTAAAACATGCATGCTTGAATTAACCTTAAAGTACTTTCCTAAAAATACTCCCAAAATTACACATTTTGTTGATTTTATAAGTGTAAATGAATTAACACATCCTCTACAGGGAACAAATTTAAATATGACATTGTCTGCAAATTTTAGAGCACAACGTCTACTTATTTGTGTAACATATTGGGGGGAAAGGCAACAAATAAACAGTAATTGTGCATTAAGTGTGCAGAAGAGTCTTTCCCTTACAAAATCAACAAAAGATGTTAATTGACCCTGGGCACCCAAACTGTACATATTTGTGTATATATATATATTCACAGTTTTAGCAAACATATGATGTATTGTTTTAATAATTAATCATGTTATCATAATATTTTGTTACTGTTTATATATTCTGTTGAGTAATAATATCTAAATTTAATATATAGATAATGACTGACTGCATATGAAAAACAAAATTGAATTATGCTGTACATGGCCAGGCCAAATGTATTTTTTATTTCACAACCTTCAACTAAATAACTTAATTCATATTAATATGAAATTACTTAATTCATCACACATAATAAATTAAAACTCTCAAACTCTGCACTCTTAAAAAATACGGTTCTTCAAGGGTTCTTTAGTAAAGACAATGAATGGTTCTATATAGGACTATGAACACTCAAATAACCATCTGCATGCTTCAGGGGTTTGTTGCATCATGAAATTGTTCTTCAGATTGATGGAGAATGTGTTGTATATGGTTCTATATAGAACCTTTTTTGAAAAGGGTTCTATATAGCACCAAAAAGGATTCTTCTATTGTTACAAGCTTGACATCATAAGAAAAGAAACTTTCTGGGTGTTATGTAGAACCCTTGTTTTTATTAAGGAGCCCTTGAAGAACCATCTTTTTCAAGAGTGTGGAACACAGAATGGACCCGTCCAGGATGTATCCTGCCTTCCGCCCAATGACAGCTGGGATAGGCTCCAGCACCCCACTGCGACCCAGAAGGATAAGCGGTTTAGATGATGAATGGATGGATGGAACACAGAATGTTGACATCAGAAAAGTATCAGAAACATTTGTAGACCTTAAATATTTTTAGTAGTTAACATAAAAAATCCAGAAATAATAAGTCTTGGAAACAGTGCTGTCTACCTTTTTTCGGTAGGGTATAACCAAATCTGCTTGAAGTATAAGGTCATTACAAAACCTTTACCGTTACTTATACACAGTTTACTGTAAGGGTATCTGTTAACAACGGGCTGTGTAAGGCTGTGTAGGCAGAGGAAGTGCGGTAGTATGCACAGGAAGGGCTGACGTTTAGAACAGAGTGCATTCTTATACTCAGTTAAGGTCGCAGCCAAGCTTTCTCATTTGCTAATTACTGACAGACAGTTTCCTCTGCTTCCTCAGGATAAGTACCTATACATATTTGTGTATGTGCGTGTCTGTGTGAATGTTTGTGTGCATATTTTTTGTACATTCTCAGGACAAAAATGTGCTGAGAGAAAAACTAGGGAAAAAAGACAGGAAAAGCAGAGAAAAAGATCAACAAAATGGTTATGACTGTGTAAAGTGCCTTTACAAATGCTCCATGTTACTTTATTAAACTGCTTGTTATTAAGGTTAAGATTAGGGTCTATTTTAGGGTTATGCTAAGTATTATTTTTATTACATGAAGGTGATTATATATCATTGCTGTCATATCAAATTTGGTAATTCCATTCCATTCCATTTTTTCTCTTTTTCAATTTTTTTTTACATCATCTGAAAACACAAGCTGCCATAAATATATATATATATGACATATATAATACATAATTTATATAGGGAGATTCACTTGAAAGAGACCCAGAATATTCTGTAATAACTCTCGCTAGGACGGAGCAATCTGAACCAAACAAAATGCAATGTGCTCCTCAGTATATGGAGCTTCGAACAAGCCAGGTTTCCGCACATTGTTCTTCATTAAAATAATCAACCAACTTGATATCAATGTTAAACAAAACTGCCTACAACTATGCTTATTTGTTTTTGTGCTATGAATGGTACAGTCTTTTAGTTGCAACACCATACACCACTGTATCATATTTTATTTATAAACTTCTCTTTTTTTTTTTACATTTATATACTTGTTCAAATGACTTTCACTCAGGGATGTTTCTGTGCCATGCTTCCATATATAAGATTCTGACATCCATACTTTCACTGAAATACAGTATTCTATTTAGCATTTCCATGTGTCTGACCCCATGTCTGGTGTGTGTGTTCTTTCCTCTCTCTCTTTCAGGTATTATACCTTTTTGACATTGTGTTTGGAGCACTTTTCTGAAGAATCATACTGTTACTTTCCGGGCCCCATAATACAGAAGCTGTTTGTGGACATCCATAAGCAGTACTTCAGCTCCTGTAGCACTACGGAAGAGGATTTCCCCAACTCACCGCTGAGTGTGGTGCTCATTCTCACCCTCCTGCCCGTCAGCATCATTCCCATTGCAGTCTTCATGGTCATCTGGAAGAACAATGTTAAGGACTGAGCAACACTAACACACACAATTGCACATAACTTAATGTAAAGTATACATAAGAAAACTCCAATTTGGAAATTGTAACATGCATATGTTCATTCATCTTACACTGAATTATACAAAAAGCTTAGGGAACTCTTCATTTGGACATTGCATTTTAGATGTTTTGTAGATATTTAATTTACCTCTAACTTACATTTAACTCAATATCTAGAAAATTAATTTGCTCTAACCATAACACTAATGTCAACTGTTATGACCTCCTATGTCTAGGGGAACACTTAAGGTCGTACATAAAAAAAAGACAAGCCAACGCCATCCAACTGCCAGACCAAGACACCACCAACTACAAATAATTGATCACTTATCAGCATTTATTTCTTTTAACTTGAACAAGTTAAAGGCACCATCTTATAGAAGTTGGTAAGTCTAGTTTTAAACTGATCAAATGCAAATGAGCTTACACAAAAGATAAACTTCAGGGGGTGAGATAAAGTCAAAACAAACTAGAAACAAAAGATAACTAAACTAATCTAACTTACATTATTGACAAAATTACAATTATAATTGTAACAAAATTACAATTATAATTGTAACAAAATTACAATTATAAGACTACCTCCCTGTCCCAAACCAGGAGAAAACAATATACACATAAGGCACTCACCCCCTTACTTAGAAAAGGAAAGCTTTACAGGTATTTAAGCAAACTCAGACAACAATAACACAAGTTCACAAAAAGTTCAGGTGCTTGGTCTGGTCAGGTGGAGGCTGATGGCACAGGGGCGACCATTGGAACAGCCCTCCCCTCCTCCTGCAGTGCCGCAACAGCCCTTAAGTAACTGGAGCGCCCCCTGCTGTATCCAATCAGACCCTCCGGACACCAATCCTAGAGGGAAAGTGATTACAACACCAAAAATAACACCATACGCCCCCAGGATCGTAACACAACCCAAAACTTAACCCTCACCCTGGTTCAAATCCTAACGTTCACTTTTTTTAACAGTTCGTACATCTGTAGATACTCTCCAAAGTGAGAATTTTGTGTAGGCCTACTTGACACTACAATGCTTTATGATTAGCCATAATTGTACAGTAAAAAATATATTTACTGAGATCTGTAACCCTATCAATTGAAAGCAACAACATAAAACCACTTCACATTTCAGTTCACTTAATATTTCTATCACAGAGTGGCCAGTGAGTGGGAGTATAAAGTAGGGGGTTCTATTTAGTGGATGAGTATTTCTTGGGAGGTACAGAAGTTGCTAATTCAGCAGCAAAGCCACCTAGCTAGTCCACATAACTCAGTAGCAAACTGTGACACGCACAGTTCAGAACAGTCCTAGCATAATAGTCAAAATTTCGTCAAAAAATGGAAGAAAAAACACCTCTACATCTACTGCTAAAGCTAATGCTAATCTCTGCTAGTACCTCTAGGAGTTCTAGTTGTATGTTAGAGCTAAGCCAAAGGTGATGCACATGAACATTTTTAGCCATTCTAGATTAAACACGATCATTTACCTCTTTCGAATGTGATTTCACGTTTTGTTTGAAGCTTTTAACAAACACTACCATATATTTTACCCTGTTTGCAGCAGTTTTACAATAACTCTTTCAGTAAAGAGCCCTGACACTGAGCTGCAGCTGCGGTTTTCCCTGACTGAAAAGGGAGATCTGCAGAGACTGTTTTCTCAATTAATTTGACCCACCTTTTGGAAACGTGATTGGTTGATTCTATTAGCGAGTGCCGAAGGCGTAACCGATGGGAGAGCTTGCTTGGCTGTATCCGCCCAGATACCTCAGGAGAAAGTTGATTGGACAATTTACCACTGGGCGGTTCATTATTTCAACCCCTTTTGTTTCCAACCAAACGTAACTGAGTATTACTACAGTTTTTACAGAGTTTACATTCAAGTATTATACGTATATTAAATAAAAATGCACTTACATTTTAAATTACATACTTTGTATTTATATATATTCATGTATCGTCTTCAATCTCCCCAAGTTCAGCCACGTCACCCCACTGCTGCTCTCCCTTCACTGGCTTCCTATAGCTGCACGCATCAGATTTAAAACCCTTATGCTTGCCTACAAAGCCAAAAATGGACCTGCCCCTCCCTACTTGATGGCAATGGTGAAATCTCGAACTGTACCACGAGCCCTTCGAGCTTCGAGCACAGCTCGGCTTGACCCACCATCCTTCAAGGCGCGCGGAAGGCAAGCATCAAGACTGTTCTCTGTGCTGGCACCCAGGTGGTGGAACGAGCTCCCACTGGCTGTCCGTACAGCAGAGCCTCTCGCTGTCTTCAAACGCAGACTGAAGACACACCTCTTTATACAGCACTTAAATGAGCACTGAATTAAGTATTGATTGTAAAACATTGTACTGCACTTATGTATTGTATTGTATTGTATTCCACTGCTCTGTGTTTAACTCTGTTCCTTTTTCTCTAGGTATCAATAATGACTTTCTGATTCTAGCAGTATCTGAGCTCAGGACTGGCTTTCTCTCTAACCTATTGGTAACTAGCAAAGATACTTTCTCTGGATAGACACATCACTTTTTGTAAGTCGCTCTGGATAAGAGCGTCTGCTAAATGCTGTAAATGTAAAATGTAAATGTATTTTGTACACATGTATTCATATTTCCTGAAATCATTAGACCTTCTCCGGAGGCCTAAAACAGGGCTTCCCATTCCTAGTCTTAGGAACCCATGCTCAGCACAGAGGACTTTGGTATTTAGCTAATGAGTTGAATCAGGTGTCATAGATGAAGGAAATCACAAAAACTGTGGGATTAGGAACCACCGGACAAGAAAGTCCTAGGGTTCCCTTCTAATGGACCTACTTACATCAGTTTATTCCAGTTGGATTCCATTTGGCATTGGAAGAAAAGAAAGGGCAGCAATGGCTTTAATATAGATTATGAAGAATCATTTCTGATCATATGCCTTGGTCAGTTTAAACTGACAGAAACCCACTTGTCAGGTTACCTACCATTCATATTAGCAGCCAGTAACGTATCTTCCACATGGCCTAGAGTGAGATTTTTTCTTATTAAATAAATTTCCAGTACTCTTTAGAACCTAAGACGAAAAGTGCTGGCTGAGTATATTCTTATATTTTTACAGTAACCTGGTGATTTATCGCAGTATTATCAAGTATCCAAAAGTTTAAAGTAAGAAAGCTTAAAAACAACATGTTCAGTCTTTAAAGCTTAAAGGGAGCTAGGAAGTGTGTACACAGGCCTTTTGATATATTACCCATATATATATATATATGTATATATTATATATATATATATATATATATATATATATATATATATATATATATATATTACCCAGTATGTTAAATTCATCCAATCACAAATTATTATTATTATTAAATAGATATAAAATGTGGCCTGTGCAGAAGTTATGGCACATTTTGTATTTTGTGTTATTTTTTCCGATACGTTAAACTCAGCACATGAATGGAAATTATACAGTAAAATTTGCAGGAAATAGCAAACCCCCTGTAGAGGATGTATTAACTTCGATTCCATTTGGCATGAGGAAATCTTCACTCGACATGTACTGAGCTGGCTAAAACCAAAAAAAAAAGCACAGGAACATGCACTGCTGGACGTTACAGGAGGATCCCAATGATTGCTTGAACTTTTTGCATTCTTCAAACTTGTGCACTAGTGGCGATTTTTATTTCATGGTGGCGATCAACTTTATTTGCTATCTAAAATGAACAGTGAACCTATACAGGTCTTATATATATATATATATAATATATATATATATATATATATATATATATATATATATATACACACTGTATTGCCAAAAGTATTCGCTCGTCTTCACATGCTTATGAACTTGAGTGACATCCCGTTCTTAATCCATAGGGTTAATATAATGTCGGCCAACGCTTTGTACCCAGTGGCAGCGCTTTACGCCACTGCATTCGACGCTTTACATTGCGCTTGGTGATGTAAGGCTTGGATGCAGCTTTCTACGCACTGTTCTTGAGCTAATCTGAAGGCATGAAGTTTGGAGGTCTGTAGCTATTGACTCTGCAGAAAGTTGGCGACCTCTGCGCACTATGCGCCTCGGCATCCGCTGACCCCGCTCTGTCATTTTACGTGGCCTACCACTTTGTGGCTGAGTTGCTGTCGTTCCCAATCACTTCCACTTAGTTATAATACCACTGACAGTTGACTGTGGAATATTTAGTAGCGAGGAAATTTCAAGACTGGAGTTGTTGCGCAGGTGGCATCCTTTCACGGTACCACACTGGAATTCACTGAGCTCCTGAGAGCGACCCATTTTTTCCACAAATGTTTGTAGAAGCAGTCTGCGTGCTTAGGTGCTTGGTTTTATACTCCTGTGGCCATGGAAGTGATTGGAACACCTGAATTCAATGCAAAAATACAAACAAAAATATGTCAAGAAATTCTTACATTCAGTGAACTGTGAACTGTAAAAGAGTGTAAACTGAGACTGTAAACTACATATATGTATATATATATATATATATATATATATATATATATATATATATATATATATATATATATATATACACACACTTCAGTATCATTAAACTGATGGTGAAAGACTTTTTCTTCCACCCTCTTCTTCTGCTTCTCACACTTATTGGCATGCATACACACATAAGCACACACACATGAGAGGCAGTGAATGCTCTATAATGCCAGATCATTTGGAGTTATATCCCTAAAAAGTCAGTTTATGTGGCAGTTTATTTAATAATAATGCAGACTTTCAAATACAATTTTTAATTTCCGCTTTTTTACTGGTTTTCAGTGTTTATAGACATATACATGGACAAATCTACTGAATTAGTCCCAATTGCAGTCACACAGTAAAAAAATTTAAAAAAATAAATTAAATTTAAAAAAAAGTATTCAGATCTTAGATATTTACAAAGATTATGTTATGATCTACTTAATAAGCTAAATATTACTTACTTTCTATTGGGAGGAAAGTCTGTCCCAAACCTTAACTAACAGGTGCACAACTTCCATCCTGGAGGGCCGCTGTCCAGCACAGCTTGGAGGATTCCTAACTCAAACACACCCAATAAACCTGGCAACTAACAGATTACTGTAATCAGTTGTGTTTGAGCAAGTAAAATACCAAACTGTGCTGGACACCAGCCTTCCAGGACCGGAGTGCATATATATATATATATATATATATATATATATATTTTAAAGCAGCCCCCAGAAATGAGACAAAATTTACAAAAGCCAATCAGAACAGAGGTCATTTACATTCCAGTCTGAAAGGTAGGGTAACAAAAACATCCTGTATGACTTTGAGGGTTAAAGAGAGGTTGGAAAATGTTAGTGTGGAAATGATTGTTTTGATATGGAACTCTTATAAAATACAAGAAATATGTAGGATGTGGGCTCTTTAAACATGATTGTAAAAATGTATACAATTATTCAAATCACTTTTGCCACCTCTATAAGTGTACACAATCTACAAGCACACTAAATGCACTTTCACTGCTTACAGAGCTAACATTTCAATCTATTACTCAAGTCACTAAATGTATAAGTTAGAGTCTAGTTTTGCAAGAACTTATTCCAGCAGTCACTGGGTGGAAGGCAGGAGACACCCTGGACAGGTCACCAGTATATCACAGGGCAAACACACAGATGTACACGTCCAAATGCACACTCACACCTAGGGGCAATTTATAGGTGCCTGGTCTGGGCAGAAACATGTCACCAGCTGGAAAATTTCCCGGTACTCCTAATGGACAGTCCGAGGCTAGAATGGCCCAATAAAAAACAATTGGGAGGCCAGTCATCACAGGCCCGTCTGCCCCCATGGTAGTTACAAAGCTGATGCCTTAGACTTTTGCAGGCTTTAAAAGATGACTTGCACTAGTGCACAGACACCATTTTTTGTGTATTTATTTCCCACTATGTTTAATTTTAACAAAAAAGTCATAGATACTGCAGCTTTAAGGTAATTTTATATGGGTTGGCATTCGATTTTTAGCACAGGGGCCTGTCCATAAGATCCTAGTTACGCTACTGACTAGACTTCCAATGACTGAGTAGCCCAGAATCACGTTGGCTTTTTGTAATTCACATGGCCTTTCATTCTATATGCTATAATTTGATATGTATACAGTAAGTCATGCAGAATGTGAGTGAATGTATCATGTGTGGGGAGTGTTATATCCCTTAAGGCTGGGAGTGGGGTCAGCAGTGTCTACGGCCTGCACTGCTGTTCTCTCTAACTGACAGACATACTGCACATATGAATGATCATTCAGTTATATGGGCTTCTTGCAGTTTGGGAGGTTCTATAGTGTAAACATTCCCTGGTGTATCACATAAGGAGTCCAAAGTTTGGAATCAGTTTCATATTCATTAATGCGCTTATTTTATTTAATGATAACTTATACAGTGTAGATTTTTTTTGGAAAAAGCAAGCATCTTTTTATTTCATAAATAAGATACTGTAATTATCTACTGATTGTAATTTTTTGATAGATTCTGTCTTGAGCTTTGATCAACATTTTTATGGATAATACTACTGAATTAGTTCAAAAACAGTTGAAAACACATTTTGTACTGTAACATCTGGACTATGAAGAAAAGAGAAGAACTATTTAAGTCGAGTGCTTAAATGCAGTAAAACAACCACCAAAAACTAATAGCAAAAAAGTTTCCCAAACACGCTACAGTACTTCTAACTGACTTAAACTACAGACTAAAATCATATTTATTTGAGTGACACTTTACTTTAATTCTGTTTATTTCATTAAAACGAATTACTAAACATTGCATTTTGTTACTACCTAAACAACCATAATACTACTGCAACTTTACCTAATAGTGCGTTTAATTAAGTGATTCAAATCTGTCATTAATGTGAACGAACCGGCGTCCTGAAATGACCTGCACGCGCACATCCTGCTCAGTTACATCACTTGAATGAATCACATGTGTCACGTCAGCAAACAAACTATTGAGCAGAGCAAGGCTTTGCTGTGACAATAATTAACTTTGATCAGCTCTCAGCTTCATTCTTTAAAAAGAATTGTGTTGCTTTTCCACCGTTTACAGGCTTTAACTTCTGTTCAGCGCTGCTGCCATGGTAACGCTGAATGATGCCGCAGGCGCAGTGGGAAAAAAAGCACATGAATTCCGATCTGAGCGTTCACATTAAGGTTGCATGGCCACGAATCGAATACATGTCCGATCTAGGACCATATATGAAAGTGGCTCAGGTCGGATTTGAAAAGATCAGATTTGCGTGTCCACACAGCCCTGAAAACATCAGATCTGAGTCACATTAGGACAAAAAATCGGATTTGTGCCACTTCAACCTAGTAATGTGAACGTAGCCTAACTGCTCACCGTGTGGCCATGAGGGACAGGGATGCAGTTTCACTTCCTGGTCTAAAATGCAGGAGTGTGGCTAAAATAAGGCCCTGCCTACAGACTAAATCTCTTTTAGTGTGTCCCAATTCAGGGGGTCCTTCAAAGGCTGCTTAGACCCGTGAAGGCTGAACCGAAATGAGACGGTCTGCCCTACGGTGGATTTTCTGTTCGCGTCACAGCAACGCTGTTCCCGCTCTTACCGTTGTGCCACAAAACACCGCTCTTGTCAAGTTATTTTAAAGTTCTTTAAAGATGGAGCCAGAAACTTTGATTTTAGTTGTTTATTTTTTCATTTATTTGAGCTGGAGATGCTTCATCACTGGCTACTGAAAAGATTGTTTGTTTGTTTTTTTTACATTTGTATTGTTAGCCATTCGCCTCAGTTTAAACCCAATACTTATATTTAAAAGTGTACTCCTCAGCCACCATTTGTCTATGTTGATGCCGCCATGTTCTCGAATCCTTGCTGGCAAGCAATGAACCTCAAGATAAGTTTGCTGCGGAAGTGACATGAAAATATGGGACAGCAGTTTTTGCATAAAAAAAATTTTGATAGATAATGTTAAAAAAATGCCAAAAAAGACAAGTAATATTTTCATAAGTTGAAATTTAAGGGTTAGGGTTTGGGATAGACACCAATTTAAGCCTTCGCTTTAAATATTTAAGGTCTGAATAGTGGGACTGCAGTTTGAACTAATATGTGTGTATAGGTGCCTATAAGGTGAGTTCAGGTTAACAGTCAAAGCCAGTGGTGTCCAAACTTATCCACACAGAGCTGGAGTGACTTCAGGTTTTCATTCCAAACAAGCAGAAGCATCTGATTCCATTTTTTTAATCAGCTGGTCTCAGTCTGTCCATCAGGCAGTTGGTCAGTTATATGAGTTGTGCTCCTGCTTGCCTTAGAATGAAAACCTGCAGCCACACCAGCCTTTGGTTGAGAAGACTGGTGACCTCTGGTTTAAATGTATTGTATTGACCTGATGTGTCCATCAAAGCTAGTGACACTAACCAGCGCCTTAGAGATCATGTGATCAAAATGAGGCATTTTCACTAGAGCAATGTAATAAGTATATGAGATGATGATCTCACAGGAATGACATACTCAACCACACATTAAAGACAGAGACATACTTGTAGGCTTGTACTTTGTTACTAAACATAAATACAATTTTGGGAAATTTGTACTTTACACACTATTTACTCCTTACATTTTTATTTAGGCCTAAATACTAGAATGGCCATAGAGGTCATTTTGACCATACAAATTTTAAATGCCGATTTGTATAACAAAAAAGATAACTGTAAAAGCATATATTTTTGTATTATTGGATATGTCATAAGAAGAATGACACAAGCTACAGTCACATGCAAAAGTTTGAACATCCCTGGTTAAATTACAAACTGAAAAGATATTTTCTATTCTATTGATTTTTCTGAATTCTATTGATTTTCTAAGTTATGAAAGAAAATAAACATTCATGTTGCAACATTTAAACCATGAATTAAGAATCTTTTATTCAATTTTATTAAATGTATTCAAATGACTAAACAAATGAATGAAATAAAGGTATATCAACTGTTTTCAGACCCATTTTCTGTTTTCAATTAGTAATGACCAATGGGATTTTGTTGTTTAGAGTTTACCCTTCAATGTGTGTATGAATTCTGTTTGCATTACAACTCAGGACTGATGTCGATGACACAGCAGAATATTGTACATTAATAAGGCTAACTTTGTTAATTTTCATATAAAAAAAAAATTCTGATTTTTTATTGCACTGAAACCCTACAAACACAAAATTTTGTTTAATCTCACTTTTCAGGTCTTATTCATCCGTATACTTTTTCAACCATTCTTTATTTATTATGTGTAGTCGCTCAAGTGTTGGGGGCTCCATAGACTCCTGTGCCCAGTGCTTCACAAAACAATGATCCATCCTTGGTTTGCTGCTGCACTAATTTGACGTGCTGTTTAGTACGGTAAGATAACGAGTCCCTATTTCTCCCTGGAGTCCCCTCCTACATCTCCTTAAGAAGGATGCTTTCTCCTTCTCTGTGCCAGGCCCTTTCACCAAACTCTTACTGTTCAAATAAGAGCATATGTTTGGCACGTTGCACCAAAGTCATCAGGGGTGCTAAATCCTGGTCCTGATGTTTAGCTTCAACCTTGATCAAACACACCTGATCCAGGTAAAAGGTCCTCAGGGGCATCAGAACATTAGGGCCAAGGTTTTGGATCTGAACTCTCCAGGGTAGTAGATCTCCAAGACCAGGATTGTGCACCCCGGCCCTATGTTATAAAGGAGAAAGCTGGTTGAAAAATGAATGAGATCACCACGGCATCTGTTTACAGGGAAAGCCACACTCTCCAACAAAAAGAGCCAATCGCATTGTTGGTAAAACAGCGAGCAGCAAACAACACCACTAGCTGCAATGTAGTCCACATTTCCACATTTTCTACTTTTTGAGTGATTTTGACACAGCACCCATATGTTAATTTAACTATAGTTTCTCTGTGCTTGTTCAACCCCTAGACATTCTCAAAAAATAAGCTACAAGTAGCGTGCCATATCCTGAACAGACATACTTGACAACAGATCATTAAACGCTTAGTTATCCTGTCCTTGTTCATGTTTGTGCCATGAAAGTGTAAATAAAAACTTGTTGATAGAAACCGATGATAACAAGCAAAGAAGCTCCCAGTGAACAACAAACTAGATTTTTTTTAAATCAAGAAATTGCCATGCCAGACGTTCTTAAGTTCATAGTACAATTTTGACAATAGAGTTGCAGTAACAGAATAACAATCAACAATAACATGGACATGACTTGTAACTCACTCACTCACATTTAGCAGGCTGAAAATTCTCCCTAAGGGGCTGTTAACATTATAGAGTATATAGGACCATTTGTAAACATCAATATGACGTGCAGTAGCAGTTTATCGGTGCAAAACATTAACGAAATTAATTGGCATAATTGGCATAATTCAATACAGTAGCTGCTAAAAAATAGAACTCAAATCCTAGGAAAAATTAATTAACATTCAATAATTCAATATTTGACCCAATATTCCAATATTCTGTGACAGGAATTGTGCACATGACAAATATACATACTGTGGCCTGTTATAGTCCTTTAGCACTTTCTGTATTGGTCCTGACTCAAAGTATTGTTGACCGACTGACTGATTTTTCATGTAACCTTTGTTCTGCCACAGACTCTCATCATTCTTGTTTAGGTTTCTGTCTTCTGCATAATCGGAGACACAAGAAACGAACAATTAATACTACAACACCCACTAGTGCCAACAACACAGCCAGTAGAAGCCCCACCACATCTAAGGAGTGGTACGAGTACCAGGGCATTTTATAGGACTCGGTGCGTAAGTGCGCAGCCCCTTTATGCCGCATTACAAACTCTATCCAGTAGAGGGCACTGTCCAAAGGATGCATAGGCCTATCTTTGTGCAGTCTAGACAACCGCTGCATGTTGTCTCTGTACGAAGGCTGATGTAGGACTTCTTGTATTGCTTTAAGGAACTCCTGGCTGTCCAGTGTAGCAACATCAACAACTTTAGCTGCCCCCCGCACCTTAAGACGTAGCACATTCTCATACTGGTCAAACAATAATGGAACACCCACTATTGGAATGCCATGGTAGATGGACTCATAGACACCATTAGTCCCACCATGGGTGACAAACAACCGAGTTTTGGGGTGACCAAGCAAGTCATTCTGTGGCAGCCATTTAACAAGCAGGGTGTTGTTGCCTAGGTTATTGGGTCGCTCCCCCAGATGTCTCCAGATCACCCTTTGAGGCAGCTGAGCAAAAGCAGCAGCGATCTCAGATGTGATGTCAATGGGAAGACCTTTCACCAGTGTGCCTAATGACATAACAATGAGTCCATGCTCTCCTGATCCATCCACAAACTCCTGCAGCTCTGCTGGTATTGGCTTTGCAGGTTTGCATTGGAACCCACCAATGTAGACGATGTTGGGCATGGTCGGGCGAGGGAACTCAAAAACAAAATCTACCCTCATCAGCCAGAGGTCCACACCCTGAAGGAGGTGGTAGAAATTGGCATCAGGCCCAAAGTACCGCGTCATCAGCGCATTGTAGGGTGGACTTACGATGAAGCGGTCAGAGCACAGATTAAGAATATAGCGGAGGGTATTCTTGACCCTTTCACCAAATGTCATCTGGTTTGAGACAGCACAGCCTCCCGTAGGAACATAGGAAACAGGTGAAGGAGCAACAACAAAGTGCCCCTCCCCACTAGTTATCCATCGTACGTTGAACACAATTGGTAATTCTAGTTTGTGAGCCACCAGCACCCCTGCAGGAATACCAGGGTCAATCAGAGCGACATCATAGTGTGTGGCTCGAAGCTCTTCCATAAGGGTCTTGTTTTCGAACATCTCCACCACCAGCTGACTGGCCTGCTGGTGGATTTCTGCTAACATGGTAAACATCTCCCAGAGGAACTTCATGAATGCTAGAGGAGACCCTCCTTGCCGGTTTATCTCCAGCATTTTACTCAGGAAAGACACAAAAAAGTCTGGATCCTCAATTAAGACAGCCTCAGGAAGAGTCACAGTGATTGATTTGTAGTGTGGTGACGACTCTTTAATATACCAACTGGTGGAAGTCCGCACCACAGTGATCTCATGACCTCTGGCATGGAGCCCCTCGATCATGAGATTCATGTTGATCCAGTGGCTGCCATCCACAGGGAAAACAAGAACCTTTCCAGCCATAGTTGCATGCAGACAAAAGGTAAAGAAGACTGTGGAACCCAAGAGAACACAACACAGATCTTTGAGGCCACCCATGACTCCTCCTGAGATGAAAAAACACAAACACACGGTGTTAAGCTTAAGTTGTTACATAGCAAAGGTCACTTGCATACTAATGGTTGATGGGGCTGCAGGTGAATACAAAGAAACATTCTGATGTATAACATTTAGTTTTGAAGTAGGGTTAAGGGTCCAGTTTTGAGCTCTAGGATCCAGCAGGTGCCATGAATTGGACATTAAAATGTCCGAAGGAGCCTCTCTCTAAAGGCATTCCATTTGGTGAACATCACTGTTTGCTCCTAACAGACTCACTTTGATTAGTTCTGCCCTCACTAGTAGGCTGAACAGGTAGCAGAAAGCTAATCGACTATCAAGCTAACGCTACAATAATAAAAGACATTTCAAATTTAAGCCTTCGAATACACATACACAAATTAAAGAATGTTACCTACATGCTTGTTACAAGCTCAAAATGTTCATATTCAAACTATAACGGACATATAAGTCCCATATATTGCAGAGCTAACCCTGCTAGTGTGTTGCTAACATAGCTAGCAAACATGGTGAAAATACAAGAAGCATTATCATTGCACTGGTTTGAAAAACAGATCTCTACGTTAGAAATTGCTGTGTAATATCACTGCTTTATGCTTCTTTGCATGTTCCTGACTTTTAGTGTAAGCACAATTTGAAAATGTTTGAAAATGGCCAAAATGACTTTTTTTTGTTTAATGCACTTTAGCATTTAGAATACATTTTAGAAAGAAACCAGGCCCTGAGACTAAGGTGTATATTTTTTCTGTCTTCTTGTGATGAAAAGTAACAATTACTCAAATTGTGATCATAGCATTTGAATACTGGCACCTCGATTAGTTAGAACAATCAGTTGAACTTGTGTACCTGTGCACATAGCTAACAGGAACATAAAAGGTTAACACACAAACTTGCACATAGCCAGTCATTATGCTGAACCTTGCCCAGAAACTGTGTTAACAATGAAGCGGCCAGCAAGAAGGGGGAGGGGTAGATGTTCTTGGCGAGGGTGCATGTGTAAGCATTCATCTGCTGAGGGCCCCTTCTCACGCAATATACTTTCCCTTACAGAAAAAAATTGTGTAAAGTGCCTTTACCAAATACATTTGAAAATGTATACATTACATACATACCTACATTTGAACAGTTCAGAATGAACTATATATATATATATATATATATATATATATATATATATATATGTATGCCCATGTATTTCTTTTCCATATGAGTTCTACTCAGAAATACAGGGATTTTACTACACTACACTACACTTGCAGACAATCGAAATCTGCATGTGATGTCCGGTCTAGTAAAGTATCACTAATTAGTTCAGAACTGACCTTTATACAAACACAGCCCTGTGTGGGGTCCAGAGGTTTTTTGTGACAAGTAAAACATGCTTCATTCCTTTCCACACATAAATCATTGCTCCTTAACTCAGGACAAAACAGCCTGTAGCATGGATGTAAAACACCAGTCACATAAGCACTAGCAGTGGAGCAGGACTGGAACACATTCTTTTAATGCCTCTAGGAAAAGAAAACACCACATTCCTTCCTCTCCACAGAAACTAATTTCTACAACAGACAGTTCCACAGATACAGAAATGGTTTGTGTTTAATATGTCAAAATTGAAAAGTCTGTGTAGCTTACCTACTGTCTCAGTCTGTCTGTTCTGTGTAGTGGACACTCTTCTGAACGTCCTCTGCCCCTCTGTCTCTTTTTTGTAGAGCTTCAGGAAGGCAGCTCAAACACCAAATCCCACAATTGCTGTTTCATAACTGTGGAGAGGTTAGACACAGGGGAATATGATGCGTGTGTGTGGGTATGTGCTACAAAGAGAGGGAGGGAGAGAGAGAGAGAGAGAGAGAGAGAGAGAGAGAGAGAGGGAGGGAGAGAGAGAGAGAGAGAGAGAGAGAGAGAGTCCACCTACTCCCTCAACACTTCCTCTCATTTTGCAAGAGGAAAAACTTTTTTTATACTTTGCTGACTAGAAGAGGGAAAATATACGCTTTCCCACAGAAGACACCGAAACTTTAAAGCAGTTTCTAAGATAAACAAATCAGGAGGAACAAAATTTTACCTTCTTAAAGTGTTCTTAAAAGGTGCTTGATGCAGTTGGTGCATTTCCATTTAAGCATGTCCATTAGCTCCATGGTGTAGTGCTGCCACTATCAAATATTTTCATTTTCAAATATTATATTGTTGCTGTTGGAACATACACTAAATGGCCAAGAGTATGTGGACACCTGAGCATAACACCTATATGAGCTTGTTGAACCCCCCGCCCCCACATCCCTGCCTTGTGGCCAGAACAGCCTCCACTCTTCTCGGAAGGCTTTCCACAAGATTTTGGAGTGTGTCTCTAGAAATCTGTGCCCATTTAGTCAGAAGAGCATTTGTGAGGTCAGGGACTAATGTTGGTCGAGAAGGTCTGGCTAGATCAAACCCAAAAGAAACAACCCCCGATCATTATCCCTCCTCCGCCAAATTTTACTGTTGGCTCTAAGGATTCTAGTAGGTAGTGTTTTCCTAGCATCTGCCAAACCCAAGTTTGTCCATCAGACTGCCAGATAGTGAAGTGAGATATATCACTCCAGAGAACACATCTCCACTCCAGAGTCTAGTGGCAGTGTGCTTTATACCACTCTAGTAGGTACTTGGCATTGCACAGCTGCTCGACCATGGAATCCCATTTCATGAAGCTCCCGATGCACAGTTCTTGTGTTTGTTGTTGCTTCCAGAGGCACTCTGAGTGAGGCAATAGATTTTTATGTGCTTCAGCACTGGATGGTCCCCTCTGTGAGTCTGCATAATCTACCGCTTTGTGGCTGAGTTGTTGCTGCTCCTATACACTTTCATTTCACAGAAGTAGCACTTACAGTTGACTGGGGCAGATCTAGCAGGGCAGAAAATGTATAAATTTATTTGTGGAAAGGGTGGCATCCTATGATGGTGTCATGTTTAACATCACTGAGTTCTTCAATACAACCCATTATGCTGCTAATCTTTGTCTATATAAAGTTCAAGGCTATGTGTTTGATTTTATATGCCTGTTATCAGTGGGTGTGGCTAAAACATCTGAACTCAATAATTAGGAGGGGTGTCTAAATACTTTTTACCATATAGTGTATCTCAATTTCTGTGTTTTTTTTGTTTTTTTTGTTTTCTTCATTTTTTACATAATTTAAACATACCTGCTGCCCTTAACATTGTATATAAACTTCACAGGAAATGGTTCAAAATTGCTTGGAAAAGTCTAGTTACAATTTAAGGGTTTTTCCAAGAACATTTACATTATGTGGAGGTTCTTGAAACTTTAAAAATGTTCTTCACACTTATATGTCTTGTTTACAAAAAATGCTTTTCCAAAGGACCATCCACTGAGAGGTTCTTCAGTGTTCTATGGGATCATGTAAAAGAACCCTTTTTGACACTTTTTATTTTTATGATAATGAGTGGGTAATGATCAATGCATTTGACTGTCAGTAGGAGCCACAAGCCTCTGTGTACACCGAAGTGTAAAATGCAGATTTTAAACTGGCCAAAGTTGGTCTATAAACTACAGATGCCACTTATGTGTGCGGGTGTGGGGGGTTTCTGGAGCCTAACCCAGCGCTCATTGGGAGGAATGCAGGAAACACCTGAGCAGGTCACCAGTCCATCACAGGGCAAGATTTCTAATTATAATTTCTAATTTTAATATGATCATTATCATCTACCAGAATATTCAAAAAAGATCTATCAGCAATTTGCAAGTGTACTTAATCATTTACTTAATCACTTTGGCACATTATAATCATTTGTACTGATAAGGTGACAAAGCTGGCAAGATAGTGATAGTTTACTGTCATGTGCTGTTCTGGAATCTGCATAACATAATCCTTTTGCAAAACTGGAAACATACAGCTTTTAACCAGTATTTCCTTTAATGGCATGTTTTCAACTTTTCATTCAAACTTGAGAGTTAATGCCCTGTTCAAAGTTTAGGAAGGGCAGATGCAGGTCACTGGGTAGACACTGTTAACTTGGAACCTTGGGCGTTGGAAGAAAGGGACATATTGGTTTCTCTGTTCACAGCAACTCTGGCTTTTAAACCAGGTTGTCCTATCTAAGACTTCTACACTTTCTGACACAACTCTACAACTTTCTAGTATTATCACTGCTGAGTTGGTTTGATTCTTCAGACAAACAAGCAACCATTCAATATTTTTTTTAAAAAAAAAGCGCTCAGCATCCCAAACCACACAGTTCAGAAATACACTTTACTGAAACCTAGACGGGAACTTTATGTCAACCATCCCTGCTGAAAAAAATCAAAGAAATCATTAAAAGTTTCTGTTGGTGTCCAATAAAGAAATTGTCATGTTGAAAAGTTAGCATTTAACCTTGCCTAGTCTCTTTACACTGCGCCGAAAGTTCGGTCTGTAAATCACTCAAAGCATCAGCGCAGAAATAAGGCAGATATCTATTATATTATATTATATTTTCTTTCGCCATGCCTTGGTTTCATCTAGGCATGAAGAAAGAGGTGGACGACTTATGCTTACTGACATAAGGCTAGTTTTGCACATGACCTACCGTCAGATGTATTCTTTGCGTGATTCCCCGTCATGTTTCGCAATGAGTTTTTGCAGACTAGGCGCAACAGGAAAGCGAAAATGGATATAAAATCTGCTAACCTTTGGTTTCCCATCAGCGTTGTTTCTATTCCCGCCTGTTTTCAGACAAGCCCCACCCCTTCCTTCCGATTGGCGGAGTATGAGTTGCTAACCCGCCCTACACTGATACTCACCAATCGTAGCGCACATGCCCGGGGTGCTACTAGCCAATCCTCACGCAGGAGGCGGGATTTGTGGCAAAACAAGTGGGGAAATACGACGCTTCCCACGAGAACACTGCATACGCTCCATTAACCGAGAGCTCGCGGCTTAAATGCGGGTCACGAGTTGAGACCGTGAGGTTCTGTAGAGGCTTAACGAAGGAAGGACATGCTAGAAGGATATATAGAGGTGGGTAACTACATTCACTCAGTTTTATGTAGGTAGCATTTCGATGGGTTAGTACTTTTTTAATGACAAACTTCTGTAGATGTGATCAGTATTTTTTCTGCGTTCTTCCCTGTTTGTGTCAGCACCTGTACTGCTTTGCTGTTAGAATATCTCACTTTCGAGATGAAACATTTTACTGTAGACCAAAAGGTGTCATAAATGTAGAGGACAACAACAGACTTCATTTCCTGTGCTAATAGATGCTGCATGTACTAAGAAGCTCTACTGCTGTACTATATAATTCAGCCTAAGCATTTTTTAGATGTGATATATTTTACTCAGGTTTTTGTAGCTACTTTACCTTCTGCATTTTTTCATTTTTAGCTACTTTACCTTCTACATTTTTTTTTCTCTAGGCATTATTGAACTGAAGTGGTTTTAAGCACCTTTATCCTCTTTAGGATATATGATACATGGGATATAACTCACTCTCAAGCATGTTGGGTGCCATTCCCAGAATACCCTCCATTACCTTGGGGTGTCTGCTGCTCCTAAGCTCAGTGCTGAACCCCTGTGGTGGGGATGTTGGGGATTTCTCACCCTGCTTGAACTACTTCTACCAGGCCTGGCCACCCAAAGGTATTCAGGGCACTCCAATCTGCCAGCGTTACAAAAACCAGTATCATTTTGCCACACTGTACAGCCGTGAACGGCGCACGCCATGGTTTTCAGCATACATCTACACCCCACCTGAGGGCAAGAGGCCCAAAGAGGTCTGGAAGTATGAGCCTCAGGTAAGCTCATCCCCCATTTTTCCTGTGCTGCTCTGAAAGGTACGTCATGTGAATGGTTAACATAAAAATACTGAAGCACCTATTCTTCAAGACAGTTTCATCTCAGGAGCTCAGTGTAATATTTTTTGTATAATAATTTGTAAGCCCTGCTTGAGGCCTGTGAATTTTAAGGGTCAGTCAAGCCTCTGTGCTCACCAGCTGAGTGTTTCTGTGAGTCATTCTGTGAATTAAAGTGAAATCATATTGGGCAGTTATTTGCTCACAGGACCCGGCAGTTAGTTAATATATTTGGTCTGAGGTTTTTGTGCAACCCTTTCTGCAATAGACGTTGTGACTGTATAGCAAAGCACTGTTAGTTGAGCAACGCAGAAACAGACATAACTCCCTGAGATGTGGTAAGAAAGAAACCTTGAGAGGCACAAAGACTGAAAAGGGGAAGCCCATCCTCTTCATACTGGATAGTAACTCCTTTGCTTATCACGTTTGTCAGTGGGTCGCTTGGGGGTCAAACTTTGCATGTGAATCTGGAAGTGGAGGTAAACCGACCTCTGGGTGAACCATCCTGATGTAACTCATTCATTGTATTCTTATATTGTAAGCCTTTGAGCACTTGTCCCTACAAGTGGGTATTTTTTCAATCAACATTAGGACTGCAAAATATGGAAGTATCAGTACAATAGTATTTCTCCATACTGTAATCTGGACACGCCTCGCAATATTACAAGGGAATTCCACCCCTGCATAATTCAATCATTGAGATGTAAACATTAATACAGCCATTTTATTTGCATGTGTATGTAATGTTGATAATGCTAAACTATGGTAAATCCAAAAAAAAAAGTTGTTTTCGCAGCATAAGCCTTGATAGATTTTAAAACATATATTTTAGGTCAAAACCTTCTTTCTAAACTATCGTAAAGCAATGTCTCATTCATCTGGGAGGCACATTAAACCACTCTGAATTACATTGTTTACATCTCAACAATTTTAATTATGCTGAAATGTTGAAAAATCTGTGGAATTCCCCTTTAAAAACGCATTGTGATTTGACCCGTCAAAGGCTGATTGCTTCAATTATTGTGACCAAATTTATATATGTCTGTTAGATCACCTGAATGCACTGATTCATAGAAGCAACCAAAGAACTCATATCAGGAAGATCTGTTCTGAGAGGTCACAGCACACAGCATTGACCAGAAACTAATACTGTGATAACGACTAATGAGCAATGTGATATTCTGCCCTGTTCTGCATTGAGAGATGACCAAAACTCTGTCAGTTGCAGCGATTCCCAACTCTGGCATGAAAGGTGAATTTTTATGTTTAATAATATGATCATTTGCTCGTTCATCCATGTGTTGCCTGGACCAGCATAGCACTATTGAATAGAATTCCAGAAGCAAAATTTGGCTAAATGGCATTTTAACAAAAAAAAAATTGCAATTTATGTGCATTTGCGACAGGTCCCAAAGACATCTTGGCCCCTTTGTGAATTTAAGTGAGTTTAAACATCTAGATTTTAGTCCTCGGTTCCCCAGTCTCAGTCCTAAACCAGCACAGAGGAGTCTGTTAACCAGATTTTGAGTTGAATCACATGTGCTGGGTGGACAAAGCACAAAGCCCTCAAGAATTTCACTTCTTCCTTTCTTCTCAGACCATATAAACCTACCTGTACCCTTAGGTCGTCCTCAGCTACTTTACTTTTCCTCCATCCGGCCTCCACAGTCTCAGTGACTTGGCTTTTTCCAGAGAAACACCCCAGAGTTGGTCTCTGGAACATCCCTTCCATCACGTTAGGTTGTCTAAGTCGCTCTTCATATTGCCGACATAAACTCATGAACAGTGAAAAAGGTGACATGTGCAGAAACCAGTCCCCAGTATCTTCAACAACTATGCAAATACAAAACATGTCTAAATATTGTACTCTTTTCTAGGTATTTTGACTTATTTGTTAAAAATCTGTTGCTTATCATACCAAGGTCAAAAGGTCAGTGTATCTATTTTTGAGACCCCACAATTATTATCAATAGAGGGGACTTTCTCTCTACTGGCTCCAAAATAAGGGTGTTATGCTTATCTCCAGATGACCACTATGTAAAAGTTGTAGCAGACTTGTAGCAGTCTTGATTGCAAACAAAGGAACAGTTTGAAAGAAGAAACGAATCTGAATATGTGAAAATAAAAGGAGCCTCACAACGTGGCTCTCTTTTCATGTTGGCTTGCTGGCTTGGAGCATCTCCGAAACGACAAGGTTTGTGAGGTGCTTCGGTCAGCAGTGGTGATATAAGGAACATATGAGAATTCAAGGTGCTGCCCTTGCGTCCAAATTCCCCAAATCTTACAGGACTTAAGGCATTTTCTGCTAATGTCTTGGAGCCAGGTACCACATTCAAAGGTGTTATTGAGTCCATTCCTCAGAAGGTTGGAGTTGTTTTGGTGGGACATGGAGGACCTTGCACTTGGTCATTATATTCTGGTTTATTGGTATTTGAACACAGTGTAGTATTATGAGTGTGGGATTGCCAGGACTGGAATTAGAAACCCTTGTTTTAGCCTATTTCCTATACTCAGTGTATAAATACATGCGCACACACAGAGCATCATCCATACCAGTATCATTTACACCCAATAGTGAGCAATCCAATAATACTAATTATATGGAAGTCATATGTATATGGTATATGGAGATTAACTGTGCTCAAACTGAACGCTGGAAGTCAAAAAGGAAGCGAAGCTGAGAGAGAAGCGGAACTGTGGAGCTGTGGTTTACCACACGGAACAATTGCGCTGTATTAACATGCTCTCTCTCTCTCAGCCATTCGCTCTCCTCCCTTTCTCTCTGTACTAAGTTTATTCTGTTTTTTGAGTTGGCTTATGAGTCAGCTGGTGCTTGCATGCAGGGTTTCTTTCTTTTCTCTCATGTTCAGGCTTTCGAACATCAATGTTTATCTGATATCAGATTAATAGCGGTTGCAGCTACTTGTTCTTGTTTTTTTTCTGTAATCTTTAGTTAAAGTGTGGTAGCTTTTTTCAGCCTCTAAGACGTCTTTTGAGTTTTGATTACATCACTGCACACCAGGGCGTGGGAAAATAATAATAACCATTAGGCCTGGCTGATAGGGTGATGTAATCTGGTATCATCAGTGATAAACAAGTAACCCAATAGCAATGTGTAAAAGGTGATAATCACCATTTTACCTGTTAGTTCTCTCTGTTATGCACTGCAATTCTAGCTTTATGTACTGCAGGGCTGTTCACCTACTACTTGTCTTGCTTTAAGTTTAGCTGGAGTGCATGGAACCGAAAATGAATGCCAACGTGCTTTTGAACTTCAACCTGTGACTCACTGCAGTAAAACAACCAAGCTAAAGTGTTTGGATATTGCCTTAGAGCAGCTAGCTGTAACCTAGAGACATTTCTTCTGTTTGGTCAGGGATGGGGGCTGGTGGGGGATGGTGTTTTTTTTTCGAAAATAACATCATTATTTTTAGATAACACGCCTATTAACCATGTTCCATCTCTCACCACCCCACCTAAGAGAAAACACTGAGCTAGCTCACAGACTTATGCCATCAACCAAAATTTCATGTTATCTTCAGAACATCACTCCTTCTCAGTTCTTTAAGAGAGAGAGATGCTGTTTTTCCAGTAGCAAAAGTAGCGATATTAGACTAACTAGGCTAGGATCTAAGCTTCTGCAATGTGGATCATTTTCGTCATCAAACTACCAGGCAAACGTGTAGAAAAACCAGGTTGTTTGATACACTTCTTGCTCTTTCATTTTGTATGTAAATCAGCTTTCATCTGAGAATTGGTGATGATCTAAAGACAATGTGCCATTGCGTTCAACCAACCAGCTTGATGGGGACGAATCTTTCACATCAGGTTACGGTTACAATAGAAATAGAAAACCAGAAATACATTACCATTCAGAAGTTTGGAAGCACACAGTCATTTTTGTTGTTTTATTCAATAATAAATTATACATTGTTGATATTTGTATTAAACTAGACAACAAAATGTCTTTTTGATGCTGTAGTCAATGCTAGTTTTTTTAGAAGCTATTAAATAGCTTAATTCTTGATGCAATACAACTTTCTTAACTACAATGCTCCAGTCATCATTCTGGAGAGTTACACCTATTTTTACTAAATACCTATTAAAGGTGGGTGATATGGCAAACATTTATGAACACAGTACTTCAAGAGGTTTTCCCCAAACAGGATATGACATGATATTTACTTATCAGGTGTCAGACAAAGTTGGAACAAACAAAGTATTGCCACATTAAAGAAATACTATCAAAAACTATGAATCCAGTGATTTCTGTTCAACACTTCTGTTCACGCACTGTGCTGCAGTGTCCAATTACACAGGACTAATGATGCTCTCTTTTTAATTAAATGAGTTCTGAAATGAGTTTTAAGTGCTGACAACATCCATGTTATACTCAGAGGAGCATTTTGTGACATTTTAGTACAATTTATTACAATAATGAAAAATATTGTAATATTGCCCAGCTGTACTTCCTATACATTAATTTAAACATATGACACAGTACAAGGACCATATTAGTAAAATTTTATATCTGTTGAAATTTTCTGAACATTGGTAAAGTCAAGGTTAAGACCAGGGTGAGGCTTGGTTTCAGGTTTTAGGATGAAAGTCAGGTTTAGAGATAAAGAAAATGAAGATGACTTCAGTAGATATTTAATTGATTGTAAGTTAAAGGTAAATTGACTGTATACAAAGCACCTTAAGGGCACTATTCAAATAAAGTATTACCATTTTGTAAGGAAATCTGCAGGGATGTTTTTCCACACCTCCAAAGTTTAGCCTTACCATACATTCACATAAGAAGGTGTCAATATTGCTAATTGCTAATATCATCTCAAGTTCTGTCTCCCCTGCTGAAAAACAGCCCAACATGGAATAAACTGGTCTATGCTTGTTTATGCTGGTGTATTGCTGGTCTGGTGCTGGTTTAGCTGGTCACCCAGCATGATCATGCTGGTTGACCAACATACCAGCATCAGAAAAACAACATATGCTGATTTAGCTGGTGACCAGCAATGCTGGTTTATGCTTTTTCTTCTAGCAGGGACTTGTGGTGTGGGCGTGTACACTGAGCTTCTGACAAGAACATGTGAAAAGGTTTACTGTGTATTCACCATTTTGTTTAAAATATGAGCTGTGGTTATAAGATTACAAGTTCATAAGTTCTCTTCCCCATTTTAGCCTGCTGCTATTGGGAATAGGAATGAAATTCTGGTAGGAACAAAAAGCTAACCTTAAACCCCGTGTCTATAATTGGTCCACATTATAGTTCATTTGCATAAAGTTGAAACAATTTCAACTCGACTTGTCGCTTGTCACCCAGCCCTGTGTCACTTGATGCTAAATTGCAGCTACAGATAGCCCACTCTCAGAGGCCTGTCGCTCTTTAGCCTGCTACTCTAAAGGTACAAGTAGAAGATAGTTGCATTTTCTGCTTCTCATGATCCACAAAATATTAGTGACAAAATCATCAGTTCTCCACCTCTTAGATGTCCAGTTTCAGTGTTCTATTGCAGATTTTCAGCTTTTTTTTTGTCCTTTTCTCAGTATTGGCTTCTTGACACATACACATCCTTTCAGAGTGTTGAGTTATCCTCTCACAGTGGCAGGATGGACATTTTTTTCAGATCTGAAGCAAGAGTGGAGCATGATTTTCTCCTCTTTCTCAAAGATGAATGATTGAAGTACTGTTTATCTGATGGTGACAGTTTTGGTGGTCTACCAGGGCTTGCACAGTTGTTAGGAGTTCCATATTTGTCTATGTTTTCTTTTAATCAACTCCCGTTTTTCACTTACTGTTTTTTGATTTTTCTCTTTCATATGCAAGTGGGTTATCTTATATTAGACATAGCTCCTGAAAAATGAACAACTTTTACTCAATGGCAGTTTTGACAGGAAATTAAATAAAAGAAAACATGGTCTCTGTCTATCAACAGTACTGTATGTATCTGCAAAACTGGCTTTTTATTATTTAAAATTGTGATTTTAAACTTCTGAACATTGTAAAGAACTTTATAAATAGTTACTTATAGCAAGTAAGTAACCCCTCTCTCTCTCTCCTCCAGCTGGCCAAATCCCAGGCTGATGGTAACATGGTGCCATTCCCCATACCGCCGGAGAAAGTGGACCAGAATGTGGTGGAGAGCCAGGCTGTTCAGGAAGACTACATCAACTCTACCTACACCCGCGGTCACCTGAACCCCAGCCAGCACCACACTGACCCTGATGACCGTCACGCCACCTTCACCCTCACCAACGTGGTCCCGCAGCGGGCCGGCTCCAATGACGGCCCCTGGGCTTCTCTGGAAGGTCGAGTCAGCAAGAACCTTCAGGCGTACTGCCTGGGGGAGGCGTACGTAGTGACCGGGGTCATCCCGTATGAGAAAGACAGATGGCTGAAGGACCAGGGCAGAGTGGCTATCCCTGAGTACCTGTGGTCAGCATACTGCTGCCGCAACTACAGCCACAACCTTCCAAAGAGCCTTACTGACACATTTCCGTCATATGCAGCTATTGGGAGGAATGATCCCAACAGCACAGAGGAGATTGTGCCAGTGAACCCACACCGGAAGAAGGCCATCCTGGGCTATGATGTCCGGCCCATGCCTCTTCCCACTCTGGAGACCTACCTGAAGCAGCGCTACGGAACACCCGTCAGCGTCTTCTACGAGCAGTGCTCAGGGTCGTGACCTTCAGTCATGAATAATCTATATCCCAGTGATGTCCACTTTTATCCACAAAAGGCTGGTGTGGCTGCAGGTTCTCATTCCAACCTTTTTTAAAACTGTTGTCACATTTATTTTGAAATTGTAAAGAACATGATGTAACAGAGCCAAATATGAATTTATTATTTTTTTGTCTCACAAACTACCATCTGAGCAAGAATATACCTGACTTTGTCTTTTATGATTACTCTCAGGGCTTGATATTTAAAAGGATAAAAGGATTTTACTTTCTTTTCTTTTTACTTTTTATTTTTATTTTTCTATTTATGCTTTTATCTTGTGCATTTAATTTTAATTATTATTAATATATTCCCTTTTCTGCTGTTGCTTTTATAGCATTTTGAGCTGCATTTTTAATGTATGAAAGGTGCTATAGAAATAAAGAAAAAAATCCACATCCTTGTCACCAGGAGAACATTTATGACCGAAAAGAATTATTTTAATGCGTCAAAACAGGTCAGCTTCCAACTACAAGACACGAAGTAGATGTTACTGTGTTCCGCTCCGTTTTTACTCAGGGCCAGGATTTAAAAAAAACAGCAACTTACCTCTCAAATTCCAAATGATCTTACAGGGAGGCTCAGAGCCAGACAGACACACATACTCACAGATTGTAAGCAAACTGTGGGTGGGTACCATGGATGCTGCCCCATACAGAATTCCTGAAGAACAATATCTGGACAATAACAGCTACCTGGGTGCACATAGAAGTCTGAGTAAACTTGTTCCAGCCAGAATGCAGAGCTACGAAACTGCATCAAAGACAGTGACCTGCTATCTCATAATAGTGACATCCTGTCTTATAATTATGACTTAAAATAATAATAAGTTCTCATAATATTGAGAAAGTGTGTCATAATTTTGGCTTAGTATTCCATAATAATGACTTACTGTGTCAAAATATAATTTACAATCTCATAATTATAACTTAGCATTTCATAATTACGATTTAGTATCTCATAAGTATGACTTAGTATCTCAATTATGACTTAGCCTCTGATTTTTATTACTTATGACCTAGTATCTCTCAATGATAGCATAGAATAGATAGAAAATTCTCTTTATTATGAGACAGTAACTCATTTACCTAATGATATGCTTAAATAATAAGGAAAATGTGTCTTAATGCTGACATTAGCTTTCCAGCTGCAACTGTTAGCAGAAAAGCGGTGCTCACCTCTGACTCTTTATCACAGAATCATTGCTTCACATATACCAAAAACACTCGGTTTCTGGCGGTTTCTTTCAGTTTACATCTTGATGGATGACCCTACACTGCTTGCAGATCACATTCATTGTCCCCTGAACTGAAATGTTGACTGCATACCCTCATATACCCTCGTTTTAATTTGGATGTTTTAGTTTTGAATTGTCTGAAACCACTGCAGTTGCATGTTGGAGTCTTCTAAGATAGAGCTTATAGAGACCTCAATGGGAATAAATGTCTGAATTTCTCAGGCTGTGGTGGTGCAATTTGAATCATTTTTGCATTATAAATTTTCAGAGAGCCTAAACATTTGTTTGAATCTGTAAGAATCTATCAGGCAGGAAAGTGGTGAATAGAGGTAAATCTACTTGTTCAGGAAAAAAATGTCAATAACAGCCTTTGCAAATAGCTGCAATATTTGGTAGGTTTATTAAAATGTTGCAGTTTGCACTGAACAGTTTAGAGAGAGAGATAGAGACTCCTACTTTCTCAGGCCTTTACAACCATTTTGTCACTCTGTGTTCGTTTTCTCTCTCTCTCTCTCTCTCTCTCTCTCTCTCTCTCTCCCCTTCATGCTTCCTCTCACAATATTTTTTGAGATAAGTAGTGACCTAAGTGATCAGCTGAGGTGCTAAAGATACTTGCAACTCTAGCTCCACCAGAGAATGTGTAAAGAGGAGAACTACCACTCAGTAATGTCTTCCAAGTTTGTCAGATGCTAAGGGGCTCCTGAGCAAGTCCAAGATGAATGGGTTAATATGGAGCATTTGAGCAAAATCATAGTTTATAAATTCTTAAACATTTTTATATAGAACAATGCATTCATTTTCTAAATACCAAAAAGTATAAAACATTTAAATACCTCTTTTATTTTTGTACACTTTTAAACTCCAGTTTTAAGAGTTGCCTAGCATGTTCACGATGTCAGTAAATGTAAACCATCACTGATCTGCTCAGCCACCAATCAGCCCTCAGTAGCAGTAATCACAACCAGTCAGCACTTAGTAGCAGTAATGCTGTGAATAGTGCTCTTATAGCTGTGGAGCAGGCAAGTCACCTTTAGCCATACAATTGTACTCAATGGTAAACACAACACAGAATAACACAATGAATTCATACATATATTCTTAAACTAACAAACGACAACAAACTAACAACGACATTAACAATAATTTTTATAGGGAGTGCACAGCTCCTGTGAGCCTCTTCACATGCCCCTATGCATGGCCGTGCCTCTCGACGGCAGCGTGGCCTGTGGCCTGATGCTACATAGCCCCCCTTTAAAGGTGGACCATCCCGCAACCCCACCAGCTCGAGCTATGTCCCTGAGCACGAACAGGCCCAGCCAGGACGAACGCTGCAGGACACCCTTGGCAACAAGCATCCCCAGACCTCACCTGGTTCCTCGCCTCGCATTGCCTGCCACGGCTTCTTTGCTGGTAATGGATGGCGAGCATGATGAGCAGCACTTCCACGCTGAAGCCTTCCACGGTTTCACTTTTGCTGGCCTCCGTCTCACCAGTCACTTTTCTGCAAATTGGACATCGGTAAAATTCTAATCCTAGTTACGGTGGATTCATAATAATGGCTTCTTCTGCTAAAGAGTGCATATTATGTCTAAATGCCAGTTCTACCACGTGCACAATATAGGAAGTAGGGAGCTATTTGAAATTCAGCAGGAGTATGTTAACATGAATAACATCATGGTCAATGCCGAAGCAGGAGAATTCCTGATGAGCTAATGTGTGAACTCCCACATAGAAGCACAAGAACATTCAGACAAACTGAATGTTACATCCAAGTATATCAGCAGTAATTTAGGGTTAAACCAGCCCCCCTCACCTAAAGTGATACAGATCCGGTTTACTGATTGTAGCTGAGTTTGGAACAGCGGACAGAGATTAGGTGAAGCTGAAGTTCTCATTTCCCTCGTTCCTTAAATGATGTGAAACTGAAAGCTGGGATTATGTTGGCAACTCAGACATACACATTTAGAATGGGCACTCGGAGGGTAACTTTGGAGAGATGCTGAAGAGGAGTTTATTAGAAATAAAAATGTTTTACACTAATATACTAAATTATTTTCTGCACATAGTACTTGTGTTGATTTGCATTGTTTGGGTTGTTCCTTGTGTGTTCACTCTTTGTAATTTCAGTCTGTCAGCCCCTTAATAATATTTCAAACACCTAAAATTGAGAGTAAGAAGGAGAGAATTAAATGGCTGTATTTATGCATTAGTTTGTGTATTGTCGAGTTATAATGAATATATTACTATTATAATCAATAAGAAATCCATAATCATATACTAAAAAGATGATTGACAAAAGTGTATTAATCCTCTCACTAAGGATAGGCCATGCTGTGTGTAGGTTAGGGGATTTTGCATGGGAGAGTCCCTGGAGTTCAGAAGCTTCTAGAAGCTAGTGTACTTTGTTGCAAGGACAAGCTGGCCCGTGAGAGGGGAGGTAAGCTGATAAGGAACCAGTATCAGTGTTGGAACCAGTTTAAAAAGATAAAATTTAATTAAAAACCTTAAAAGAAGGGGGGCAGCTTAGGATAGTTGAGCATGCAAGTTTTTAAAAAATCAAGGACGCGTGCGGTCGGAAATAAGAGTTTCCAACTGAAGTGTAAGGATGGGAAACAATGGGAACCAAAGTGAAATGAGAAAAGGTGAGAGGGAGGGGGTGATTGCTTCATCGCCCCCCAAACAGGGTATAAAAAATGATGTTTCTGTAATGTACTTTGCATTTGGCTGTCCGGGAGCCATCTTGCCACCTGAAGCTCAATAAATGAAGACTGGGCCTTTTCCTTCCTTCAAAAAGAACTCAACGGCTGAAGTCTTTTATTCAACTTTCTTTTATTTTTGACTGAACTTTATTTTATTTTGTGTTTATGATGAGAACAAGCAACTAGATTTATTAAAAAACTAAAACATAGTTATAGAACAGATTAGTTTAATTATCCATATGTTGGGGCTCTGAGCGAGCGGGAATCGCACTTAGTCCCGACAGTATCATAGCAAAGAGCCACAGCCGAGGAAAAGTGGCACTATAACGGGTTTGCCCCGCCTTCATCTTTTGCCTCAGCCTGGCTCTCCTTTGCAGGCCCGGATCACCAAGTTTTCAGGCCCTGGGCTCATATATTTGGTAGTCCTCTACCTAGCTGCCTTTTTTGGGTGGTTTTTGGGTGAATTTTTTATGATATCACAGCAGGTTACACAAGGCTTTTTCAGCACCATGATGGCAGCATACTGACTGCAGTGTTGGGCACATCACCATCGCTATGGGTATGTTTAAAACAAAATAATAAGATTATGCACACATTAATGAGAACACAGGTTAACATAAACCAAACAATGACTGCAACATTTCCCATAAAGCATACATTCGCCCTTCACAAGCAACACAAATACCTCAGTGAAGCACCTGAAAAACAAAGCTGTAAAGCATACTGCCATCTATTACTTTTGACAGTACAACATTTAAAATTTTTTTAACAGTGGCCCTTAAGTGCAGCTGTGAGGTGCAGATCTGTCAGAATGAAGCCTTTAGAAATGTTTGAATCAGATGAATCATTGTAAATATGTGGTTCCACCACTAGACGGCAGCGCATGTTTAAAAAAGGAGACTCAGGCTGCAGTACACCAGCGAGACAGTGTTTTAGGTTTATGAGGTATACAAATAGTATACAAAAAAGACCAAACAGATTTTTGATAGATTTTGTAGAGCAAATCATGAATTTGAAAATGATATGTGGGCAATTTTGTAACATTGTTTCAACATTCACTTTTAATTTGCTACAAGTCATGGGCCCACATGTTGTTTAGGATTACTGTATTATAGTGTAACTGTGCAGTAATGTTCTCTCACACCTCAACATACTTTCCTATACCTCAGAATCCCATTTCTCATATATTCATGCTGCTTATTTATTTGTGGAAGACCTAGTTTATAAGTCTACAAACCAGCTGATTAGTGAATCACTTGCACCCTGGAATAAA